TGAACATACAATAGGTTGGAATATGCAGTGTTAACAGTAAATGTATACAGATACCGGTAGGAATCTGTCTGAAAATAGAACAAATGTATTTGTTTAGGTTATGAACAGTTATTACTTCACTGAGGAAGCGGGCTGGGACGAACTATCCAACAGTGTGAGGGGCTGAATTCTCACCATCTGGACAGTCAGAGTAACATTAGAATTGCCAGACGAAAAAGGCCAAGGTCCACCTAGTCGGCCTTCTACCATCTTGGTAGTCGCCTGCTACAATAATGGAGATGTTGATAGCAGTTAGTTCTGTATGGACTATTAGTCATTAGTTTAAGGTGTTTCACTGATCGTCACTTCAACACACTAATTGATGGAATCAGGAGGAACAAAGGTGGAGCAAACTTGATACTTGAGGGAGAAGGGAACAAGGGTGTAGGAGGGGGGAATAGAGGGATGTAGGGGAAGGGAATAGAGGGGTGTAAGGGAGGAGATTAGAGGGTGTAGGAGAGAGGAATAGAGGGGTACGAGAGGAAAATAGAGGGGGTACGTGAACGGAATAGAGGGGTGTGTATGGAGTATGAACACCAACACAGACTAGTTCGTACAAAATTCTATGGAAGATTCTGGTTTTGATTCATCTGGAACTTAATGCACAGGACGGAAAGGTTGGGGACAATTAGTATAAAGAAAGTAACCTGATACTAGCTCTGTCCTTGCTGTATATTCCAAACATACTTTTCACTCATTTCTATCTCCAGGTCCTTGTTACTATTTCACTGCTGAGAGCGTGACTTTCTGTGGCAGCTTTAGTATGCTTGGAGCTTTGATTAAGCTTTGCAAAGGATCACTTGTAACGCTGGCAAACATGTTGCTTATCCCAAGCGTCTAATTTCACAACCTGACCTATAGTAGAGGACAAACAACAAAACCTTAATCAGCACAAGTATTTAGCTGGATTCCTTACGTAGTCTGGCTACAGTCTGATTCTGTAGCAAGCTTTCTCAAGAATTGGCATCAACTAAATGTATTCTTCTGGGACTGTGTTATTTTTACAAGAAACGTAATGGGGCATGAAGAATTTAACCTAATGCTTACCAGCTGGGTTTACAGATTTCTCTGAAGTGAGTCTAGTTAAGGACTGACTTTTCTTATATAATGATTCGGTCACTCAATCCACGACTGTTTGTGGGACATTGCTGTGCACAACTGGATGCTGTCTTTTCGTCCACAAAATATACAGTCAATTCGCTTAAAGCATATTCTGTGAAGCACTTTGAGATGTCTCGAAGAAGTGATAAGGCGCTATATCAAATAAAATGCCAGGATTCTATATATACATACCAAATCTAGCAGTGAGCAAGCATGAAGTGCAAAGTGAAGCTGCTCAGAAAGATTTCTGAGAGTAACTCAGAGTAACTCTTCTTGTCAGCATTGGTGTCATCAATTAAATCTGAATGATATCTTTGCTATTTTAATTTTGTTTTCAAATCTTCTACTTTGTAAACAACACTGTTCATTCTGAAGCTATTGTTTATCGTTAAAGCAGAAATAATATATCCTGACATTTGGTACAATGCCTTTCATGGCGTGAGGACATCCCAAAGTGCTTCAAAGAATAAACTGTTAAGTGCAGTGACTGTTTTGTCAGCGAACCCAGCAGCCAACAACGGTAAAGCTGCTTGTACCCCAGTGATGACTTATCCAGAGTGGTGAATCAGACATATGTGTAATAATAATAATAATAATCCTTGTATTTGATATAGCGCTTTTCACACCTTCGAGACTTCTCAAAGTGTTTCACAGACTATACTATAAAGTGAATTGACTGTCTATTTTTGGGCGAAATATATACATATATGTATAAATACATAAATAAATGCCAGGATATTGACAGCTTGATGACTTAAGTGGCAGTGACAAGTTAAGCTAGGGTTGAGTTATCAGGAGGTCACTGTAATATTAATAATAATCCTTAGTGGTTTTACATCAGAAGGACATCTCAAAGCGCTTCACAGGATTCACTGTAGAGTGTAGTGACTGGGTGTTTGTTGATCAACGCAGTAGCCCCAATTGTGCACAGCGACTTCCCACAAACAGCCCATTAAACGAATGCCTCATTTTATTCGGGGATCGTCAGTCAGGACGTCGGGAGAAATAAATTAGGAGTGGAAACAAACAGAAACCTCAAAGAAAACTCAGATTCTAACGAGGAGAAATAAGGAGCCCATTTCAATGAGCTTAATCTTGCAGGAAAATAACTTTGTGCCAAACCTGTTGGCTGGCAGACAGCTGGGCAGCGCTGAGGGGTGGCACTAAACATACCACAAACTCTTGGATGTGAACCATAACGTGATATTTAAATACAAAACGCAAAAAAAAAAAACAAGGCGAGACTGGCTGGCAGCAAAGAGGCCTGCAATGTCTCCCAGTTGGCTACACGGAATGATTCCTATCTCTGCATTAAGCATGTCTTTAGTTGGCTGTGATATTGTAACTGCTGAATAAGGCCTGGGGGCTCTGTTAAGAGCAGCTGAGTGGCTGACAGTCTGCCAGATTATTGTTGACGAAGCCAAATCAAGTTGATTACAGGACAAGTTTGTAAAATAAACTCTAGATCGACAGTTAAAAAAAAAACCAAAGTGGCAAATAGAATCTCACTTCAACGTCCCCTCTCTGAGAAATAAAAGGGGACGAGAGAGAGAGACACTGAGAGACCGACCAACAAGAAATCACAACCTCTTATCATGCAGTAACATCTGGCCTGCCAAATGGACAGCGTTTCGAATGCGAGGTTGTTCGAATGTTTTAACGTTGTGCTGTTGGTCGTTGTCCAAACGCCACATCAGCTCCACAATTGTCCAAACGCATTTGCCAAAGAAGCAACAATAATAATCCTTACAGTTAATCCAGCGCCATGTCACTGAAATGTCTCAAAGTGCTTCACAGGATTTAATAATAAAGAAATAATCTTCGGATTTTTGATACAGCGCCTTACGTTTGTATTTTGATATACTTCCCGCCTCGCCTGCCGCACAGCGTTAAAGCTAAATCTCTCGTTTTTATTTTCTGTATGTAATAATAATAATCCCTCCAAAAGAGTAATAATAATAATAAATTGGTCACTCAATCCCACGACTGTTTGTGGGACACTGCTGAGCGCAATTGGCTGCCATGTTTCGCAGACAAAATACACAGTAACTACACTTTACCGTATATTCTGTGAAGGGCTTTGAAGACGTGATAAGGCGCTATATCAAATGCAAGGATTATTATTATTATATTGTATTAACATGTTGGTCAAGACGTCCCAAGGCACTTCACAGGATTTACTGTAAAGTGCAGTGACTGTGTCTTTTCGAATAGTACCATGGGATCTTTCACGTCAGCCTGAACCGGCAGACGGGACCTCAGTTAACGTCAAATCGCAAGGACGGCACTTGTGACGATGCAACACAATCACCAGCACTGCACTGAAATGACATCTTAGACCATGATCTTAAAATCTCAATATGGGTCTTGAACCCAATAAGAGAGAAAAATAATAAGAGGAAGAAGAACAAAGAAAGCAACAAGTAACACATTTATTAAGAAATCTGTGTTGCTCAGTGCCACAATTCTGTTTTAAGTGATGATAATAATAATAATCCTCATATTTGATCCAGCGCCTCATCACATCCTCAAAGAGCTTTGCAGGAACCGCATTTGGGGAGCCTGAGCGTATAAAATCAGGAGTTAAATTCTGAATTTCCAAACTTCCTCTTTGCTCATCTCTATGTTTCTTCGCTTCCAGCCGTACCATAATAATGGCAGTCAGTCGGTCAGTGAGTGAGGGAGTGAGTGAGTCAGTCAGTGAGTCGGGTAGTCAGTGAGTGAGTGAGTGTGTGAGTGAGTGAGTCAGTGAGTGAATGAGTGTGTGAGTGAGTCAGTCAGCCAGGCAGCCAGCCCAATGCCCTGCCAATGACACAGGCAGCGGAGAGCACTGCCCTGCACAGGCCCACAGCTTCCTCTTCTTCTACACATCAATGCTTGGGGGAGAGCAAACGGACTCCCACGTATGCCCACAAAACACAGTCACTGCACTTTACCGTCTCTCCTGTAACCGCTTTGGAACATCCTCCTGACGTGAAAGCCATTGTACCAAAAGTATGGACTGTTATTATTATTTTATTACCTTTATGACGAGGTACGTGGAAAATCTACACGCTTAAATATATCTATTATGTTAGTTTCCTTGATATAAATGAGATTAACCTAAATGTAGTCAAATGCTTTTTTAGTAAGAAAACACCGTTCATAGGATTGGTGTAAACTAAGTCTAAAATGACATTTTCAACAATTATTTTCAGTTTTCAAGCAACTTTGAAGACCTTCCTCTTCGACCGTGTCTACAGTCACCTCCCCACTTCCCCCCTCCCCCTCGATGTCGAACTCCGCCACTGTCAAGTGCTCTGGGACCTACCCTTTGCTTTCACTTTGGTTGAAACTGCAATGAATGTGAAGAGGCTCAGTATTCACTGAGCACAGGCCACTGGCCTTCCATTCTATAATCTCCCATTTTACTGATGAAAATTGCAGTCTGCACCGTTTCGCTTTCAGTATAACTTTCCTCTCTGTTCTCCGAAACATGGAACTGAAACTGCACAAGTTGAGTTACACGTGTGGCAACATCACATCATTCAATCTGCCCCAACTCTGAATTCATCTTAGATTTGAGAACCAGGAACAAATCACAAGTCTGTGTTTCGTGTTAACAGGATGGATTCAATCAATTGCTGTCACACTCGAAGGTTAAATTTGCCCTCAAATATTCATCTAAAAATTCTGGTATTAAAAATGAACAATGTCTTCGGAACTACAGTACAAAAATCACCACAAAATCTATAAATTATACATTGGGGTTTTGAGGGTTGCTGTTGGACTATCTAATCCACTAACAAACTCCACTCATCACAGGAATAGATCCTGCGGCTTGCGTGTCCGCTAGCTACAAATATTCAAAACTGATTTACCTGCTTGTATCCATGACCCTAAAGTGATCAGGACCGTCATGAGTAGAATTGCTTTCATGGTTCTAATCTTTAACAGTTGCTTCTTTTATCCTGTATCGAGCAGGCGGGACGCTGGATTCTGTCCCTCTCCCAGGGAGGCAGTGATGTTTAGTGAATGCAGATATGGAGATATCTCCAAATGAGCAAAGATCCCACACCGCAAATCCAGCCTTGAGACTTGTTAGTGATCTGTAAGGAGTGAGACAACAAAACAGCATAAAACATAAAAGTTGAGCATAGCCGATGAAACTTTATTGGCCTCTTTTTCTGAGTTAGTTTTGCCGCATTTCGCCCCCAAAATACAGTCAATTCACTTTACAGCATAAGCGCTTTGAGTCGTCTCGAAGATGTGATAACGCGCACTATGTCAAGTGCAAGGATTATTATTATTATGATTATTTTAGCTATAGTTCAGAAAAACCTCCCTAGGGGAGGAACATCTTCCTGCAAATCGATGTAATCCCAACTACAGTACTCAATGTTTTCTCAAACAATGTGCTCGAATTGTTTGTAAATAATTTGTTTACTAGATACATACTAGACAGATACATTCTAATGTATTCAGTAAATTCATTGTTTATGGAGAAATAATTATCTTGGACGCATAGAAATGTCTGGCAAGCGTTCCCGCTGCCCGTCCAACTAGGAACACCCTACCCGTTAGGGCTTTGGCTCGCACGGTTAACAGGAGCTGAGTGGGATGACTGGTCTGCCCTTCCAGGTACTGTCGATGAGCCGGGCCGGGCCGGGCCGGGCTGGGCTGGGCGGTCATCAGCAGTGCCCTCGAATACTGTGGACCTACCTGGTTCAGGAACTGGACTACCGAAACCACCACAGAAGGCTGGCGGCTCGATTCATTGCCAGGCACTTATAATAACAATAATAATAATCCTTGCATTTGATATAGCGCTTCACTTCACCAGGGAGCAAGCTCAGCCATGGGAAGATCCCACATACCTTCTGTTCACCCCCCACCCCCACGTAACAAGAAGTATATTTTGATAAAGAAACTGACAATCAAAAGTGTATACAAGTTCATACATTGCTCTGAACGAAAAAGAAATCAATGTATCGTATTGAGGTTTATTTTAACTCAGTATAAATAAGCACACTTCAGTTTGTTTACCAATAAAATAAATGGAAATCTAGCATAACAGAAATATATGTTAATAAAATGAGCAACTGTACCATCTGCTGACTCTAACACTGTACACATCCACTAACACCTTATCGATAGACCCTTTCAATGAAATTAACTGTCTACGTTTGAACTCAGCCATAAAGTGACAGATAATCTGGACAGCGGGGAATTCACATTGTAAATATTGTTGCTTTCTCAAGAGGATTCCGCCCTCAATATTCTCAATATTCTCCCTCAATATATTTTTAGATCACAACAGATTCACCCTCAGCAGCTCATTTACAGTGAGTGTCACTGCTTGTCACTTACACTTAGTAAGAGTCCTACCCAACCCTCACTCTTACCAAATATCTCCTGTTCAATACCGTTACGGCCCACAACCCCCCACCCCCTTAAAAAAAAACCATCAAACACCTACAGCAGAGGCCGATCTACAATACCATACGATGCTATTTGTACCCACAATCTTAAAGATGGAGAGAGATTAACCGCATCATCCTCTTAAGGGTCAATTCTCCTGCAAGACTGTATTGATTGAAGATGATGTCCTCAAAAAAAAAGTCGCTGCCTTGCCACCTTAGAGAAGTCCTGTAGCTCAAGTGGTCAGAGCACTCGCCTCGCAAGCGAGAGGACCTGGGTTCGATTCCCGGGTCAGGGCGAAAAGTTGGGCAAGTTTCCTTCCTTCCTCCGCACGCACTCCTCTATTTACCCAGCGGTAAGCAGGCGCCCGGTTGTTAGTTGATTTACGGATCGCTTTTCCAGGGGTTAGCAAACCCTTCCAAAAATAATAATAATAATAATAATAATTTGGCCGCTCGATCCACGACCGTTTGCGGCTGACTGCTGCGCCCGCCCGGCTGCCGCGTCTCAGCCCCGGCCGAGTCGCTTGCTCGGTGCAATCTGCGGGGCGCTGGGAGACGTCTCGAAGGCGTGAGGGTGAGGCGCTGTGTGTCAAGCCCGACGCCGATGGTGAATATTATTATGCCCGATGATGACGATGATGATGAATATTATTATTATGCCCCCAATGATGATGATTAGGATCATTGTGATGGTAATTACTGCAATGCTATTGTGCACTGATGCTTCTGCTGAGGCTGATGGAGAGGGTACTCACAGTCAGGAAGGATGATCTGCTCAGTCGGTGCTGTCCTCAGTGCTGTCTGTGGACACTCAGCGCTGCACTGGAGACGATCCCACACATAACTTTGGATGCAGCTCAGAGCGAGTGGTGGTGGTGGTGGTGGGGGCGGGTCAGGCTGGGGAGGGGGCGGGGCTCAAACCCCATCCCCGGCCGCTGATTGGCCGCCCGAGCTGTCCCTCCGCCATCAGGGCGGGACCGCCCGCGTTGACGGACGCGCCGGCCGCCCAATCAGACCCAAGCGCCGGACCACTCCAACCCCGCCCCCCCCCCCCGGCCGCGCGGTTCAGCCAATCAGACGCGGCGGGTTAGGGAACGGTGACGTCACCCCCCCCCCCCCACCCACTGGTCCTCCTCAGTGAGAAAGGAGGAGGAGGAGGAGGAGAGGGGGACAATGGATGGAGCCATCGATCGGGTGGTCTCCGAGCGATGGGGTTCAGCCGAGTCCCGTGAACGTCTCTGTCGCCGGCCGCCGTGTCCGCTCGGCCGGAGCGCGAGGATTGGCCGGCGGGAGGGGGACCGAGGTCCATCCGTCTGACCGCCCGCCATCCCGGGGGCGGCCGCCGGACATGTCGCGCCCCCAAACTCTGCGCCGCGGCCCCAAGATATTATTTCCCGGCGGAGAACCCGTCGCATTGTTCGTTCGGGAAACGGACGACGCTTTCTCTGCCTTCGCCACGTTCGGGACTTGGAGCTCATATGGGTCTAAGCTGACACTTTGATGCAGTGCTTAAGATGAGATGTTAAACGCGGTCCCGTCTTCCTGTTCAGATAGATGTTAAAGATCCTGTGGCACTATTGGAAAAGAGCAGGTGGCCAATCATTTCTGAAATAGAATTGGTCCTTCGCTTCATGGCTGTTGGGACAATGCTGCGTGTAAATCATTTGCCATGTTCACCCACAAAACACACAGTCACTGCACTTTACAGTATAACCTGTGAAGCGTTCTGGGATGTTCTCCTGACCTAATAGGCGCTGTACCAAATGAAAGCATTATTATTATTATTAATTCTTGATTATTCCTTTGCTTCAATAACAGGAGCTTTTTCGTGTAAACAGTCTTTCCTCCACATTTAAAATATCAAACAGCTGTATCCGTCCTGTCTCCACTTCTCCCTTATCATTGGTTTCCATTTTTCATGAGCTGCATGTCTCCAGTTTGCTTATCTCTATAAAATTCCTGTTGGATGTTTCAACCTTTGTTGTTTGAATTCTACATCCACGTGCTTTGCTAACCACAACAACAACATTTTGTAACTTACATTTATATAGCGCCCCTCATGCAGATTGGGTCTCGGGGCACAATTAGAATAAACATTTATGCAGCATTAATGTTATCTATCTGATTCAACAGAAGACAAGCTGGACTCCAGAGCCGTAGGAAAATAATGAATTTGGAGATGCTACTGCTTCTCCATCTTAGAATCATAGAATTATACAGCATAGAGGGAGGCCATTCGGCCCATCGTGTCTGTGTTGGCTCTTTGAAAAGAGCTATCCAAATCAATCCCATTCCCCGTGCTCTCCCCATAGCCCTGCAAACTTGTCCTCCCCAAATAATTATCTACTTTTTTCTTAAAAGTTGTTATCGAATCCGCTTCCACCAGCTTTTCAGACAACGCATTTCGGATCCAACTCCCTGTGTAAAAAAAATTCTCCTCACCTCCCTTCTGTTTCTTTTAACAACTATTTTAAATCTGTGTCCTTGGGTTACCGACCCACCCGCCAGTGGAAATAGTTTCTCCTTGTTCACCCTATCGAATCCCCTCATAATTTTGAAAACTTCTAGGAAGTCTCCTCTTAACCTTCTCTGCTCCAAGGAAAATAATCCTATCTTATCTCGCCTTTCCTGATAACTGAAGTCTCTCATTCCTGGTACCATCCTGGTAAATCTCCTTTGCACCCTCTCCAATGCCTTGACATCCTTCCTAAAGTGTGATGCCCAGAACTGAGCACAGTCTCTCGCTGGGGGCTAACCAGTATTTTATAAAGATTTATCATAACTTCCTGACTTTTGTATTCTATGCCCCTATTTATAAAGCCTAGTACCGGTATGTTTTTTTAACAGCTTTATCTACCTCTCCTGCCACCTTCAAAGATTTACTTATGTCAACCCCCAGATCTCTCTGTTCCTTCACCCCCTTTAATGATTGTACCATCAGCTTACAACTTAAAGGTGAAAAGTCACCTGGAACAACAACAATGACAACATGCATTTATATATATATATATATATATATAGTGTCTCAGAGCGCTGTAACAATTCCTATGAACTAACACAACAAAGAAGGTTCAGGGGTGACCTGATCGAGGTCTTTAAAATAATGAGGGGTTTTGATAATGAATAGTGAGAAATTATTTCCACTGGTCAGTGAGTTAGTAACGAGAGGGCATCAGTGTAAGATTGTTAGCAACGCTAGGTTTTGCCATGGCTAGTCTATTTCTAAAGGTTTTAAAAGCTAATTTTAGTTTTATGAGGAGGTTAGATTTCTACACTCTTGGGTCCTAGGATTGAACGAGGTGCTACCTAGAGTGAAGGGCGCTATAGAAATGTAAGTTGTTGTGTGGCTTATAGTTGGAAACAATGGAAAAATATGTCTTCAGAATCAAACAATGTGAAGCAAGTCACCTCTATGTAGAGAATTCACCCCCCACCCCCACCCACCCACCTCTCCATCTCCATAGAAAATCTGCCCGACCCAGGGAAGTGGGTAAGATATCCATTAAAGTCAATTAAAAAGTAATTCAACATCCTTTAGGAGGGCCACGTTAAGGTCAAGGAACATGCTCCTTCTCCTCTCGTCTGTCAGCAAAAGGGTTAATGGAGATTGCTGCTTACAGAGTGAAACCGTAAGAGTGGAGCGAAAATAAGATAAATAATTACAGGGAGAACGAGAAATGGGAGGGTGGAGGTGGGGGAGGTGGGTGGAACTAAGAAAATACTTTGTATGTTCACAATAATATTACTGACTTCGTTCAGGGTTTACTTCAGGATAAAGCACAGTGAGACCCGGCTGCTTTCTCCTGCAGTGTGCTACCGCCCTCCGTGCCCTCCCGATAACTGCCCTTTCTGTCCCTCTGACTCCAGTCAGATCGTACAGTGATAGACTTCAGTCTTGTCTGCTTCCTATTTGCTGAGTTGTTTGGCTGTGTGTTTCTATCAGTTGCTCTCATACCTTCCTGTGTTATTTTTGTAAACGTCTGCGCGTCTGTTTCTAGTTTCAAACAGCACCGTTCTCTCGCCTTCTGGCTGTTTTAGATATAAAACTGCTTCGTAATTTTCCTGACATATGCAAGTCTACATTTTTTGTTGTTTTTTATTGACGATTTATGTGAGTACTGACTTACACCTGATATAATATTTACAACCAGACATTGAAAAGGGACCTAGAATGCTGGGTGGATTACGGGTGGATTTGCTGCAGATGCAGACAGCAAGCTCCTGATAATACAACTGGTCACTTCAATCCACGACTGTTTGTGGGACACCGCTGTGGCGCAATTGGCTGCCGCGTTTTGCCCACAAATGTACAGTCAATTCACTTTACAGTACATTCTGTGAAGCGCTTTGAGATGTCTCGAAGACGCGATAAGGCGCTGTATCAAATGCGAGGATTATTATATTTTTATTATCTTAATACTTTCTGGAATTGGGTAAGCAGGATATGTCCCTCCAGGGAGAGAGAGTGCGCAATCCATTCCAACTATCTATCTCTGGGATTTCCAATGTGTGGGTGGGAAGCATGGGATTCTCAGTTGGGTTTGGATACTCTTAAGCAACGGTGATGGGTTTCCGCACGTGTCTGACACCCGGCTGATCCAAAACAAATTATTCCTCTTTCTCTGTCCTGTCACAGATGGCCACCTAGTGACTTGTCTGGAGAACTGATTGCACGGTAGAAATTCCAGGAGCCAAACCAGTTAAAGGGTAAAAGGAAAGAGAGGGATATTTGCACCAGTTCAGTTGTGGAGAGAAATACCACAGGCTTCGCTCAGTCCCGAGAGCACAGTCCAGCAAGTGGGAAGGGCAGCAGCCAGTAAAGCCTGGCGTATGCTGGGGTCCCGTAAATGCTCTGGGACGCTACCCCACATGAAGGGCGCGAGATAAATGCAAGTTCTTGTTGTGTCAAGGTCAGCTTTGTGAGCCCATCACCCCCATCGGCTTCCCATCTCCCAACGGGTCAAGTTCAACTTCCTCGTTCGCATGTTTAATTCCCTCCCCAGTCTTACCCCACCCTACCTCTGTGCCCACCCACCCGCCACCTTCACCCATACCATCCCAACTGTTTCCTTCGCTCAACCAACACCAGCCAACTCCCCACCCTTTCCCCACCCCACCCTGGCCTCTCCCTCTGCCCAACTAGTGAGAGGGCTTTCGGACACTTGTTTTTAAAAAAAACCTAAAATATATATTTCTTTGTGGATAAAATATATATTTGCACTTATCTCAAAAAAAACAAATCCGTGATTTCTAGGAGGAGCAAAACGCGACATAAAATAATGGGCCGAATGACTTCCTTGTGATTACAAATGTGGATTTATTTCCAGAGGTACGCAGCGTAACTGTTAACTTTACATCAATGTTAAACCACGGTTTAAAGCTCAACGTACGTCTGGTTCCAGAAGTGCACAAAGTCAGCGCGGAGCATCTGCTTCATTGAGTCCAAGTTCACTTTACTGTTGATATCCAGGTAATGGGTGGACATGGAGCTGTATCGAGTCCAGGGAGTGGGCACTTTGGAGTTGCCGTTACTGGGATCACTGAAAAATCAATTCCAATGTTTCTGGTTACTCTCTGAACCCCTTAAATCCCTCTCCCTCCTCCCACCCCTTCATCCCAGCCATGTTATCAGTCATCACATCATCAACATCCATGGAAACTATAACAATTCACTGCCCTGTTACCCAAACCTGCCGTTGCTTTGTTTGCCTTCTGTTATTTATATAAATACTGTTTTTTTTTCAAGAGGTAATTTTGTACCTTACCTGAAAACAATATTACAATATTGTAGTTTAGGATTTGCAAAAAGTATTTTGCATCGAAATCTGCTGTGTCAGGGCCCAGGGAATCCTCCCACTCACTCAGCTCCTGTTAACCATGCAAGCCGGAGCCCTAATGGGGAGGGTGATCCTAGCTGGACAAGCTCTCAATGTGGTTGTAGTTGGTTAGACTCCAGAAGTTACCCCCAACGCACACTCTGAGTTCCCCAAGCCTTGGCTCTTTGCGAACACGTGCCTAATACTTTCCAGAATCGGGAATGCAGGAGGCATCCCTCGGGGAGAGAGTACGCCTTCTATTCTAATCTCCAAACGCAGGTAAGATGCGTGGAACTCTCAGTCTGGTTTGGATAGTCTTAAGTCAGAGGCAGCCAGTGATAGGTTTCTGAATGTGTCAGACACCCGGCTGACCCAAAACAATTGCTAGTCTTGGGGTGCAGTCGGGTACAGGAAAACTCAGGGAGAACATCTCGTTACGTATCAATTCTCCACCTGTACAATAAGGACGTCAATTTACCATTGCTCTGAGAACATAAAGATATTACACATTAAATGTAAAACACCCACAGACTGAGATAAAGCAGTCAGGAGTGCCTCTGGCACTGGGCCAATCTCTCTACAACCATCAGTAATTTCAAAGTCTGATATTGAGTCCCCATTCCCCTGTCTCCTTACCCAGTGTAGGCAAAGTTCGTCCAGTAGGCAATGAAGTAGTCCGTCACGTCCCTGTCCCGGGGCCAATACGCCAATGGAGTCGCGTACGGTTTTCCAAAGACGTATTGCAGGTCATCGGCATGGTCAGCCCCTGTCCAGCTGGGGAATATTGGAGCACGGGAGGGGTGGGTAAAGACATAGCTATACGTCCGTGCTCCCCTGAGAGGACAAGAAGGGACCAGACAAGGAAAGAAAGGAATGAGGAAAAATGGTCAACATGAGGAAAGAGTAAACCCACAGGTTCGGGATTCGGAAACTAGAAAGCTTGATTAATGTACAAATTGGAACCAAACCCCATGTGAATATGAATGTGCAGGTATCAGGTCTCCATGTGATTGTGTGTGTCTGTGTCTCTCTCTTTCTATCTGTGTTTCTCTATCCTGTTTTCTGTCTGCCTCTCTAACTGTCTTGCTGTGTCTCTTTTTGATCTGGATCGTCTCTCTCTAGCTCCTGCTGCTCAGGCAAAATCACAAACCTGTACCATCACAAATCCAATTATATGGACTATATGGGTTCCAAGTCCAGATGTGAGGCTTTTGACCACAATCTTCTGCCTCAGAGGCGAGAGTGCTACCACTGAGCCAGGCTGACAACGATGGCCCGAATGGCCTGATTCTGAACCGTAAATACGTTGTGCGATTTTATGATATGAAAATATTTCCAAACGCCTACACACGCACAGTCAATATACTTAGCGGTAATGACACATTAAATGCTTTGACACATTTGAATGGAAGAAAGCCCGGGGTTACTATGATCAGATAACTTACTGAGCATGTTTATAGTGAAGCTCCAATGCCAGTTGAGTGGGGATCAGGAAGAGTATGTCCGTCTCCAGGTTCACCACCGTCTGTTTGATGGTGTCCTGGTTTGGATTGGAGGGCCAGCTCTTGGTGTACTGAGCGTAAGTCAGATTGGCTCCTTGTTCTCCCTTCTCCAGAGTGAAACTTTCAATGAGATGATACAGGTCCTCCCTGTGAATAGCAACAAACATATTGGGCCACTTACAGACTTAATGTCAGCGTGTTCAAACATCCTTCCAATGTGAAAGGCGCTTTATAAATATAAATTTGCTGTTGTTGTTAATCATAAGCCTGCAAGTCCAGTTTGTAGTTGAGAGCATCACCAAGCAAGTTCACAACACATCAGATATTATTGTTGTGCGTGCGTGTGGGGGGGTGGGGGGAGGGTTGGACTTCAAGAGAGAGACAGAGCATTATAACACAGGGGATGTGGAGCAGGCTGGAGCCTGCTGAGCGGAGGGAGCGGACAGGTTGATATGGGGTTAGCAGGTTATAATGACTGATAAATACATAATTCGAGTGGTGGGTGTTGAATGGCTTCAGATTCTTGTGGTGGGTAGGACATCCTCCAGACGTGAAAGGCACTGTATAATTGTGAATTGTATTATATCGCTCCTTTTTGTTGTGGTATATTTAGACCCTCTTTGTACTGATCCCGATCCTCGACTGTTCACCGCCTTGGGACGTCCTCCCGACATGAAAGACACTTTACAATTGTAATTTAGTTGTTGTTGTTGTTATACTGCAATATGTATTTAGCCAGGCTGCTTCCACCATCTCTCCTGGTGGGTCTGGCACAGCAAAGTAAGAAGTTCCTCTTGTGTGCTGGCTGCCCTATTCTCTGGCCAACTGTGGTATCTGCCCAGGACTCTAGAGGAGGGCAGAAAATTACATTTATTTATACAGCGCCCTCTGTCCGTGTAGCGTCTCAGAGCGTTTCGAGAATAAGAACAAAACAGGAATAAACAACAAGGTCTTTGACATACGGATAGGTCTTTCCGATCAAATTAGGCTGATTGATTGTGTGAACATCAAAGCCTACGAAGATATGTCCATCCATGTCGTTGACTCCGGCGATGTAATCGATGGTGGCAGCATTGTGGTACAGGTTCTTTGGGTCATCAGGAATAAAGTCACCGTCAATGACAGGAGACCAGATCAGGTAGTACGCAAGTGGTTCTGCAGGAGAAGGTGGTCAGTCAGACTCCCAAGGAAAGTCTAAATATAACTTTCATTGTTAAACGTCCTGTCACCAGAGGGAGAGAGATTTAAGCAGCCACATGTCCTGCTACAAACCACAGCGCATTGAGCAAAATAAGTCTACGTTGTGTACACCTAATCACACTGAAACATCTCAAAGTCATTCACAAGGGAGTATTTTCAAGTGTAACGAGTGATATTAATAATAATCCTTCCATTTGATGTCTCAAAGCATCCTGAGCTCCAGAGAAAGCTACCGTGGCCCCTCGGCTCTATAAACAAACAGCTGCAATACCATCCAGGCACCCAGTAACTGGAATATTGTTCTGAGACTTTGGTAAGCACTTATTCTGTCTTCCATAACCAAAGAACAGCCTGACGATCATTGCTTTTAGTGATTCTACCTCACATAGGTGATCTGATGGGACTTAGACAACATGTCTGCTGGTTTATCAATTTATCTGCCCAATAAAAGAGTTGTGTAAACATAGTGATATCTAGAGTTTCCCATCACAAAACTAGCTATGTATCTGTGTGCCTGGGAAACTACATTTTCTAAAGTGCAAAACTATATTTCCGAGCAGACCACACAATAGGCTACAGAGTAAGCCTACAGGAGTCCTATAGCTCAGTGTTTAGAGCATTCGCCTCGCAATTGAGAGACCTGGGTTTGATTCCCGGCAGGGCAAAATGTTGGGCAAGTTTCCTTACTCCACACGTCTGATAATAATCCCTCAAGAAAAAAGAAATAAATAATAATTTGGTCACTCAATCCACGGCTGTTTGTGGGACACTGCTGGGCGCAATTGGCTGCTGCGTTTCGCCCACAAAATATGCAGTCAATTCACTTTACAGTTTATTCTGTGAAGCGTTTTGAGACGTTTAGAAGACGTGAAAAGCGCAATATCAAATGCAAGGATTATTATTATTATTATTATAAGATGCCTTCCTTTGGTTTTTCCTTTGGTCAGTGTAGCCAATCAAGTTCATTTAGTTATTTACATCCTCGACTGAAGCTTCATCTCCTCTTCTTACCGTTGTTTCTCCTGCCGATCCAGTCATTGTGAAAACAACTGCACCTTGTAAGGAAGGTTTGAGTTTATAAAATTCCAACCCATCATCATCTCGTCGCTCTTACGTTCTAAGTTGATAAACGGCAGTGGAATCGCCAGCGTGATAGCTTTGGGGTCGGTGGTCCTCAGGCAGGCCATCATGGTAGCATTGTTGTCTACGGGGCAGCCAACTTTCAGCGCAACCTGAAAGATAACGGTAAGCTGATCATTTCCAGGCAACGTAATACCTTTCGCTTTGGGCACTGGTAACCACATCCGGCATACTCAGGGGTATATAGCGGGTACTCCCTTCATTCTTTCTGTGTGTCAGCCTGACGTAGTGGTGGTACTCTTGTCTCGGAGTCCAAAGGTTGTGGGTTCAAACCTCACCACGTCGGGACTTGGAATCACATCGTCTAAGTTGACGCTCCAATACAGCGCTGGGAGGATGTTACGTTGTTGGGGGTGCAGTCCTTCACATGAGATGTTAAACCAAGGTCCTTTCTGCCCGATCTATGGCAAAGCTACTCTGTGACAAAAACACATGGCAACGTTGACCACTTTTTGCCAGATTTAGAGCTGATCATGACCACAAATCTATCCTCCATTTTGGTGCTTTGGAGCAATGACAGTCTGCACAAGCTCAGCTATAGCTGACCCTTCAGCATTTGCTACGACCCCAACCTCTGTTACGATGCAGCGTCTTTTCATTGTTCGTTTCTACGTTCTTACCTTTGAATTTTTTTTTTGCTCAGCCGGGCATCTGCCGCATGCGGAAACTCGTCACCGTACTTAAGAGTATCCAAACCAAACCGCGCTCTCTCTCTTCTCCCCAGAGGGACGCATACTGTTTACCTAATTCCGAAAAGTATTAGCCACAGGTTGGCAAGAGCCAAGGCTTGGGGACCCCCGAATGTGCGTTGGGAAATATTTTGTCTTGTCCAACCAATCGCTTGTAACTGGTAAATGACACAACACAAGGTTGTCCTCACCTCCTCTGCCCATTGCAGAGGGCTCCTCTGAATCGACCAGGGACATAGTGCCACTCCACTCTGCGAAATCGCTCGATTTATCAGTCCTTTGTTGTAGGGTGTCAATGTCTGTAGGAGGAAGATGAGTATTAGAAATGCCTATTATTAATCCGGGCATTGCATTCACTGCGGAGTCCTGCAGCTCAGTGGTTAGAGCGCTCGCCTCGCAAGTGAAAGACCTGGGTTCAATTCCCGGTTGGGCGAGTTTCCTTACTCCACACGCGAAATTGGGGGTTTAATAATTCCTAAAAAAAAATGCGGTCACTCAAATTGGCTGCCGGCATTTCACTTTACAGGATATTTTGTGAAGCGCTTTGAGACGTCTCGAAGACGTGATAAGGCGCTATGTCAAATGCAAGGATTATTATTATTTTTTATATCACAGGTCCCACCACAGGACAGTGAGACTGGAAATATAATCACAGGATCACAAGATGGGTCTGAATGAAAAGGACCCTTCAACCCATCTGATTTCACCACTCAGGCACACCACTCTATCATCCTCCATCACAGCATCAAGCTGCCTCTTAAATGAGTCCTAGTGTCCTGGCTTTAACCTATTCCAGGCAACCCTGTTGCAATTGCTAATCACCCTCTGAGTGACGTCTCTCTATATACAGCCACAATTATCAGGAGAGACTGCAGAAGCTGAGTGTGTTTTCCTTGGAGCGGACAAGGTTGAGGTGGGGCCTGATAGAGGAATACAAAATGTTGAGGGGCTTTGACAGAGTAAATAGGGAGAAGTTATTTCCATTGATAGGGTAGGCAGTGGCCAGGGAGCAGTTATAAGACTGCCACAAAAATAGCAAATTTAGGAGGACTTTTTTCCCAGTGAGTGGCGGAGGCGGAGTCCTTTGTAGCTTTCAGGAGTTGTAATTTTCAGAACAACAAAACTGCCCATTTTTGGACCGATCCTGAAGAGATTTACCTGAAGGGAGACACTAGCGCCCCCTGCTGATTCTCCAAAGAGAGTGATGTTCTCTGGATCCCCACCAAACGCTGCAATGTTTCTCTTCACCCAACCGATGGCCATGTGCTGGTCCCAGAGGCCGTAATTCCCTGGTTATAACAACAACAACTTGCATGTATAAAGCACCCTTCACGCGGGGTCTGACAATGAGCCAAGGGGAGAGGGAAGGGGGGAGGTGACCATAAGCACGATCAAAAGGAAGGTCTATAGGTGGGATTTGAAGGTGGGTTGGAGGAGGCAAGCCGGAGGGAGCGAGGGAGAGAGTTCCAGAGTTTGGGGATGTAGTGGCTGAAGGCACAGTCACTGATGGTGGAGTGGAGGGCACGAGGGACAATTAAGAGGCAGGAGGCAGCGGGTAGTGGAGTGGGGCGTAAGCAGATCAGATAGGTATTGAGGTGCGAGGGAACTATGTGATATGAAAACGAGTGAGAAGATCTTGAGGTTGATCCATTCAGTGTTTGGGAACCAGTAGAGCCTGGCTAGGACTGGTGTGATGGGGAGTATTAGAGTAACATAGATATTAAGTACTTGGGACAAGGGAAGGCCAAGCTGAGCTACCCCATATCTAGAAATGTAAGGACCGGATGGTGCTGAGACATTAGACCAGTAGTTTTAAACAAGCAATGTGAGGAATCAATGCCCAACACATCAGGGGGCAAGCCACTGGAGTATGGTTATGTGTGGAGGATTACACATTACATTTCATGACATCGCAAGAGTGGCTCCTGTTCTTATCCCCAGCATTATGTGCTTGTCTCACGAGGATCATCCTACCATTATAATGCTGCGCTCCCCCCACACTGCGCTGGAGTGTCAGTTTAGCCTATATGAGTTCAAGTCCCGATGTGGAGCTTGAACTGACAACCTTCTGATTTAGAGGCTTGTGCTGGCCACTGTGCCAGGCTGACACCCTGAATGAGCATTGATGAGTCTTTCCTTTGCCTCCTCTCTGTAATCAAGTACGGTTTATCACCCATTTTGGATTGTTATGATTTCATTGCCTTTGATACTAACCGGGTGAGTTGCTGTCTCCGGTGCTCAGGAATCCCAGGGGCCCCACACGGTAGCTAAGAGTCACCACTATGACTTGGCCGCGGGTGGCGATCTCAAAGCCATCATACAGGTAGTTACTCAGGAAGTTAGCGCCCTGCGAGGCTCCAGCTAGGAACCCACCTCCGAAGATCCACACCATGACAGGCAGATTGGTGGACACTGAGGGTCACGATAAAAGAGAAGTTACTTAGATATCTGTCTGGCCAGACCAGACTGACCCTCACAATTAATCTGGTGGTCATCTGCCTTCAATATAGTGGGAGGACCATTACAGGACAGCTTGTGACTTGCTAGTCACCTTGATGTTCTCGAGGTCCAAGTCCAATGCCACGTACCAGGCTTATTCATACCAGGTCCTCATGGGAGAGGCCTTGGCAAATAGAGAAGCCACCTCTGCCTCCAGAGTACATAGCGACAGGTAAATAGTCAAATCAAGGAGCAGATTGGAAAACAATAGGAGGATTTGATCTTAAAACACAGGGTGAATCAGCAGTCGTTACTCATGGAGTTTTCGATTATTAATTAGGTTCTTTTTATCTTTTCTTTCAGGATATTAACAGATAAAGGCTGTCAGATCGTGATGACTGCAAACCTCAGTTCGTGAACGTTTTTGTCACCGAGTTGATATGTGTAAACGTCTACATGGATGGCACGCAGTTTGAACGTCTCACATAGACCTATGAGTAAGGACTTTTGATTGATCCTGTATTGCCAGAGGTTAACCCTGTAGGCAAATTACCCATTAAAATACAGTGTGGTGATATTGGAGTGCATTGTACCTGAACTTCCCTGAGGAATCCAGATATTCAGGTAAAGGCAGTCCTCACTCCCACGCACATCGGTTTGTCTCAATGTCGTCTGCAAACATCTGTCTTTGAATTTTTTGGTTTTCAGCACATCTAGTAACAGAGAAGGAGCAGATCATTAAACAGAAATCCAGATAGTGCGTTCTGCACCTGTCCCACAGATCTCCCTCCCACTGCGCTGAGAAACGGTTCCATATGTGTCCTCATGTCTGAGCCTACATGTGCTTTTGGATGGTGTCTTCACCCATGGAGAACATCACCCAATTCTCACCCAACAAATATGCACGTTTTGCGAAAGTCTAATGTAAGATCTGAGGAAGAGCGCAAGGTCTCTCTCCCTTCTCTATGGGTAGCTCTTCCTACATAGCAGTGGCTTCCTATTCTGGCACAGCTTAGCTTAGACATTCAGTCTGTAAAGGATCCCACACACTCCTTGACCCTTCCCCTCCGTAGCTGAGCCTGTTATCTCTGCTCTTGTTTTATTCTAAGACAAAGAGAAAGAGAGGGAATGCTTTACCGTTCCAGCCAGGATGTGGCTCAGCTTTCTCAAACCTCTTCGGAGGGGCAGCAAAAGGAATCCCTCTGAAGATATCCACAGACCTGAAAGCCCATCATTTTCCCTGGTCCCTTCCACAAAACCGCCTTCGGTGTGTACCACACCCAGCTACAGTGACAAAGAGAGGAGCACAAAGTTAGCACAGCACCTCAACCTGATACTCTGACCCCAGTCCCCAGTGTAGCTGTGAGCAGCTTAACATCTGCGATCAAGTGTAGAGGATAATCAGATCGTTTGTGGTGCATTGCAAAAGATCAGAGGTTCTAAAGAAGAAGGTATCTAAAAATATTGTTCTGAGTTTGCTTTCCTTCCATCCACTGTTTAACAACAAATTGCATTTAGATAGCGTCTTCACGCTGAGCAGAGTCTCAGAGCGCTGGGTTAGGCTTCAAACATTGAATACCCACAAAACGGTAAGATTAAACTACCCACAAACTCAAACTGTTGTACATTCTCTGTGCTCGCAGCCCTCTGCGTGTGACAAGATCCAGGCAAAATACTGTTTTTCTCAGTGCTAACACATCTCTTTCCTCGTGGGTACCCAACAACTGCCTACCTCCCCCAGCCCCCAACCCTCAGTCCCCAGCCCGACACGGCGTTTCAGACAGAACTCACTGTGGCACGACCTAATGCTTCTCCCAGGTGACTGGCGAGCACGAGGCACAGGAACACCCGACAACTCATCTCAGCGATCTCAGCACACGGCTGCCAGCGACACCACGTATAAAGACTGCCTGGCTGCCAGCCCCACCCATAACACAGCAAAGCACAGGGGAAACGACCAGAATGATTAATTATTTTTCACGTACACGGACCTGTATGTGAAAAATAACTAATCAGTAATATAATATAAAATTAATAATTAATATAAGCCAAAAGCTGCCATCAAGGTTAGCTTGCAGTTATATATGTTACACGAGCAGTTGGCGGAACCCCAGCTGATGGTGAGCTTTTGAAGGGAGTGCGTCTGCAATGTAGCATTGGGGCAACCATCCCCCCCAAATAAAATCAGTCACTCACTTCTTGGCTGTTCGTGGGGCAATTGCTGCCATGTTTACAAATAATAATCCGCGCATTTGACATAGCGCCTTATCAAGTCGTTGAGACGTGTTTGCCTACAAATACAGTCACTACGCTTTACAGTAAAATCCCGTGAAGTGCGTTGAGTTGGCTCAACGATGTGATAAGGCGCAAATTCAAATTCAAGGCTTGTTATGATTTATACATTATTTTATTTATTAGCTTTCTCTGACTGTGCTTGTGAAATTGAGGTCCAGTCAGACAGACATCCACAAAGTACAATACAATCATTGAATAACATCTTAAAGCGCTTCACAGATTATACTGTAAACGTGAAATTGACCGTATATTTTGTGGATGAAACTTTTTTTTCAAATCAAATAAAAAGATCATTTTGGTCTGGCAGTTTATCAGATATGGAACCTGTAACAGCAAAGGGTAGGATTGACTTATTGAAAGGCTGATGTGGATTAATTATCACATTAAAAAAATTATGAAAGCATATTCCTGCTGCTGACCTAAGCCCGACTGTGTAAACCAAGGCATGTGAAATAGTGAGAGTAAAGGTTCACTTACATTGTCGCTGTTTCACTCCCCCTTGTGAGACCTAACTTTGCGGATTAAACATCACTGGATCCAAAACAGTAACAATGCTTTGAGCTGAGCTGGAATTGGTTTTATTGGAAGATGCTATTCGATGCCAGACGTAGGACATTTTTGATAGCAAATAAACAAGATCGACAACTTGCATTTATGTAACAGCCTTCAGATGGGGTATGTAATCTTTCGGAGCACTCTGTAACTGGAGTACAGGAGCAGAGGGGCTCGGTGAGCAGATCTACAGGGCATTAAAGGTGGCAGAGACAACATAAATCACTGTAAAAGGGAACATGATAGCTGGCTGAAGAGGAACGTTAACCAGAGTGGAGAATGAACAGGAAAGTAGGATCAGATAAAGTGACTCATAGAATTGTAGAATATTACAACACAGAAGGAGGCCATTTGGCACATTGTGCCTGTGCCAGCTCTTTGAAAGAGCCACCCAATCAGGCCCACTCCCCCGCTCTTTCCCTATATCCTTGCAAATGCTTCCTCTTGGGAGTACTTATCCAATTCCCTTTTGAAAGTTGTTATTGAATCTGTTTCCACCAGCCTTTCAGGCAGTGCATTACTCATGTGGACAAATACATTAGTACAGACGTGATAGTCTTTGAGACGCCCATCTAACTCTATCTTGTAAGCCGGGTCACCTTTGGAGCTCAACGGCATCAAGGTGACTTGTTTGGTAATGGGTTGTCAGAATCAAACCCACCCTCTCTGACAGTCTTGGTAGTCTTCTAAGCTGGGCATTTATATAGCGTTCACCTTTCACGCTGGGAGGAACTGTTAACCTTTTGGGCTCCGAAAAATGCTCTAATTTCTCAAGTATATCTCTATTTGTGTTCAACACTGTTAGCTCGCTGAGTTTGGTGTTTGGCTCAGGGCAGTCCCAAAGATCAGGAGCTGAGTGCTACCACTCTCCCTTGTGAGACCTAGCCTTGTGGATTAAACATCACTGCTCAGCTCAGTGAGGTAGGCTCCCTCTTTGTCTCACTCTTTAGTTCACTTGGAGGGAGGGAGGGGAGGGGAAGGAGGGCAGATAGTTGTGTAAATCGTAAGAAAATAAGGTGCTCACAAACAAGGACCTGGATGAGGAGAGGACGTTGAGATGTGAACCATATTTCTGGAATAGATTCTTTATACTCCAAGCACCTGTTTGCATGAGCCAGATTTTCCTGAATTGCGGCCAGTTTTTCTTGGCAGCGACTCATTGGAACTACGTCAAGCCTGATATCTCCCGGTCTGTCACCTGGGCCATTCTCACTGGTTACATCAGCCTTTGGCATCACCAGCCAAATGCGTGTGCGCGCTTCAATACAAGAACTAAACTGGGACCGGCTCGCACCCCACTCCTCTACCATCCCCTTCGCTCAACCGGCTCCGGTCTCCTGCAGGTCACACGTCCCCTCCGCTCCACCACCACCACTACGTCCAAATGTCTCGAACTTCCGGCCTCAATCTCTCTGCCTTGCACCCTCTTTACCCGTCTTCACATTGCATTCTGGAGACAGTGTATAGTTTGGGACACGACATATCAAGCGACTGCCGGGATGGTGGAAGGCGAACTAAATGTTCTTATGAGATTTTCCTCTTCTTCCGAGCCTACGGTCACCTCTGCCAGTGTTAAACACTCTGTGAGACACTAACCCGCCTAAAAGATGCTGTATAAATGCAAGTTGTTGTTGTGGCTCACTGCAACTAGAAGGAAGAGGGAAGTTAGTCCACTCTGGTCCCACCAGGGCCGTTCTCCTGCTCGTTCCTCACATTCTTCAATCTGCTTTTTCGAGTATCTATTTGATCTCCTCTGAAAAGAATTCATGGCCTGAGCAGTTATGTGTAGCAGAGAATATTCTGTATTCCAACCACCCTTTGCGTTAAATATTTTTTATCTTTCTTTTCATGTTTCATGAATATCTTCAATATCTTCAAATCCGTTACAGACTTTACAACAAGTGGAAATAATAAATTAATGTCTAAAAACAAATTAATATATTGTTTACCCCTTCATAATTTTGAACTCGGTCAGGTTTTTTCAGCTGAGAGTTTCCCAGGATTAAGATTATCTTTTCTTCAGTCAGCGGGTGCCTGACATACGTGGAAACTACATAAACGTGATAACTGGGTGTCTGATGCCCATGGAAATCCATCACTGTGATCAGCCAGGTGTCTGACTGCCTTTCAGAAGAATTGATGCACTCTACTTCAGTATGTTTGTGGTATAGCTTCCACTTCCCAACCACTTTCTATATGAAGACATTTTTTTTCTAATTTTACTTCTTTTTATGAATATCTTAGATGTGTGGACTCCAGTTATTAACTCCTTGACCAGTAGAAATAATCTAGACGTTCAAAGCCGGAAGTGAGAAGACATTGGCGGGAGCCGAGTAGAATTACTTTGTCTTGTCCATGTTGAGAACTGCGAGAAATTGTGGGTCATCCAAGCCTTTGTGCGGGACAGGCAAGTGGGCAGAACATCAGAGGACTTGGGAACAAGAGTCAAAACCGGAGGTGGAAATGTAGGTCTAGGCATCAGAACATGGGAGAAAAACAATCATGTTTGGAAAAACAAATGTGTAAATTTATTACAGATAAAGTACAATAAAAAAAATTCAGGTACATCATCTCGTTTTTCATTTATATTTTGTCACGTCACTTTGTTTGTGCCACTGGAAAATACTGAGACACAGACAAAATATAAACCCCTCAGGGAAAGGTCAAAGGCCTATCGATGCAGAAAGCCACTAACTCCAAACGGAATCAGCTCAAGGCAGTGCTGCTAACACTGGGAAAGCAGAGCGCAGTGCAGGTGCACTCACACCTCTACTCACCCTGTGATCTGCAGCAGGCCTGCTGTAATTACTGGCCTCCCTAGTGGAGGATGTCACGTGAAATAAGTGTGAAATACACACCAGATGTTATTATATTAATCTTCACAGTTTATACGGGGCCTTTCATGTCTAAAACGCTTCCCAGGATTTACCGTAACCTTCAGTGACTGTATTTTATGGACCAACACGGCAGACACACACAGCAATGTCCCACGAATAGCCATGGAGAGAGCGACCAATTTGATTTGGGGGGATTGTTGGCCAGGGCATCAGGAGCGACAAACTCCCTTTGCTTCTCGAATAGCGCGGTGGGATCTTTGAAGTCCTCCTGAACAGGCACAGATGGGACTTCGGTTTAATGTCTCATCCGAAGGATGGATGTGAGTATTCACTCCCCATTTAGGATGATTGCGACACAATCACATGTAGTCCAGGATTTCAGTCTCCATTTCATTTTCACTCCCATCTGACGGCTGATATTCCTCCTCCTCTTCGTCCTCCCCAGATTCACCCGCCACTCGCTCCGTTGGGAACGAAGGCTTGTTCCCCGCACAGATTGACACTGTCCCTGAAAAGAGACCCCCAAAAAAATAATTTACAAAGTAGCAAACAATTTACAAACGGTTGTGAAATGCTCCCACCTCCCCTTAGGCGAGTCTCGTCTCCCCCCAACCCAGGCATGTGAGAGGGAAGTGGTGCGGAGGGAGGCGCAGAACTCTTCCTGGACCCTTATTAATCTCATTGGAAGAGAGTGCGGGCACCACACACACACACACACACACCAGACATACATGGAACTTTAGTTTGGATTTTCTTAAGCATGGTGATGGGTTTGCCAGATACTCAGCTAACTACAACAACTTGCAAACTAGTAAACAAATCACTCATAGACCTTCTGTGAGGAAGGGAAACTGGTGCAGAAGGGGCCAGGCTTCCAGTGGCTACACTGACCAGGGAAAGTGAGGAGAGGGGTATAAAAAGAGAGAAAATGGCCCTAAGAATGAGAAGGAGTGATTAGGTACCAATCAGACAGGACAAAGAAAGTCCTAGTTGGGTCTCTGATCAGTCTCACCTGGTCTGTTCTTGCGACATATTTCTTTGATCATATTCGCCATCCGATCGCGCAGCTCATCACTGGTCTTGGGCAGACACCACCCGTCCCGCTCACTGCACTCCACCTCCTGGCCCTCGTTACGGTGAATGATCACCTGTAAGCTAAAAAGACAGCAAAAACTTGCACTGATACAGCGTCCCGGAGCGCTTGGAACCGAGCAGGAACTGTCAAGGGAGAAAGCCTGACTCACCAGCATTACCCTATAAACTCAAGAGCAGAGTTAAAATAAAAACAGACCCAAAGATAGTAGATCTGGAGAGGTTTTGAGACAGCAGACCGGTTGCTGAGTGTCCCTGCAATCACCATCATTCACCCTGACATTTGATGTGCCTTTCACGTCGGGAGGACGTCTCGAAGCGGGTGAGGGTTTGGAGCTTGCCTTCGATAGAAAGTACTTAATAAGCAGATACTGCCCCAGTCATGCACTGTTCGAGAATGGAAATTCCTCCCGATTCATCCTCAAAACAGTCACTCCAAACCCTCTCTCAATATCAGCTCTGCTACACATGAGAGTGGGACAGAGAGAGGTTGTTCCCTCTCCCTCTCTCTCCCTCCGAGATTGAGAAACTGAATGGGGAAGCTTCTAACAATTAAAAAAAATTCTGTTGGAAGTTGTAAACTCGATGTTTTAGGAAGGTATAAAGGGATTCAGTATAAACTGTATGTGACAGTCATTTCGTTTATATAATCAGATATCACTTCTCTGAATAAACCCATCAAAACCTGAACCTCTCAATGGCCATGTGTGTGTGTATGTGGGGGGGTGACACACAGACTGGTGCTGTACCTTTCTGCATCCAGGTCACACAGCTGGTAAAACATCTGCCGGTAAGGTGGGAGGGTGTCCTCATGGAATTTGTAGGCAGATTCCTGGAATGTACAAAAAGAGATGTAAGGAACAACAACAGCCACATCCTGTCCCTTCCTCTCCCCCTCCCTCCAGCCTGTTCCCTCCACTCCTGTACCCTGCACTCCAGCTGTCCCTCACCTCCCCCCTCCCAGCCCAGCCTGTCCATCACCCCTGGATTATGACTTATCCTCTTACAGTAGTGTAACAATACAGCGCTAAACCTGTCTTGTGCATTGGAATAAAATCAGAAGTGGCTGAGAACACTCAGCAGGTCAGGCAGCATCTATGGAGAGAGAGTTAAAGTTTCAGGTCGATGACCTTCCATTAGAGCCAGTCAACTCACTTTCCTCTCTCTCCGTAGATGCAGCCTGAACTGCTGAGTTCCCAGCCACTTCTGTTTTTATTTCAGATTTCTGGCCTTTGCAGTAATTTTGTCTTTTGTGCATTGGAAACTTACCTTGAGTTTGTACCGGCAGGAGCTGGGCCACACCCCCTGGGAGTTGGTGGGAGTGCGAGGAGCCTGGTTCAGGTCCTGTATACTCACCACCTGTGGGGCTGAGAGGGGCAAATGCACATCAAAGCCACGTTGTGTGGACCACATCACACGATCTCAAAATAATGGTTCCTCATTAAAGAAGCATGTTACCTACATTGCTACCATACACAATTACATTTGTAAAGTGCCTTTCACGTCAGGAGGACGTCCCAAGGGCCTGGACAGTCAGGGATTAGGACCTGAGCGGGGGTGGGGGGGGGGGGGGGTGTTGGAAAATCAGGGAGGGTGGAGGGCAAAGAGGGTGGCCGAAGGCACGAAGAGGAGGGTCTTGAGGCGTGCCTTAAAGGAGGAAAGGGAGGGAGTGAGACGAAGGGAATATGGGATGGAGTTCCAGAGGGTGGGAGCAGAGAGGCTGAAGGCCCGACTGCCGATGTTGGGGCGGGCCGGGCTGGGCGGCGGCCATGAAGCAGGCCGGACAGCAGGAAAAAACTTTGCAAGGCAGCAATTTGAGATATGTCGATATATTGACATGGCCAACGGTACCTTTATCCGTGGATATTACTGGAAATAGAATCCCTCCTAATTTTCGGTGCCACTGTGAAGCTTCTATATCTTTCCCAGAGCACACACCGTCTGAGCTGGGCAGGGCAGGCAGCTCAGGCCAGGCAAAGCTCCTCTTAAACCACGCTAACTACGCTAATTCTCAGACAGCGTATGAGTGAGAGCAGGTTACCTCGCCTGCCCAAGCTCCTTTACCTGGTTTGCTGACGGTGATGGGGAGGCTGTAGTTGAACGTGCTGCGTTTGGCCTTTACCGGCATGTCCGATGGCAGGTACCCTGCAGAGTAAAACAGTGTGAACACACCTTCCTCCGCCTCACACAGCAGAAAAAAACAACACTTTCACTGGAAACAGCACTTACTCTTATTTTCCTTTAGAATTTTTTTTCCCTTTATTTCCCTTTGAGATCCTGTCCTCACTGCAGGTTGGGGGTATATTAGGTTGAAAGCCCTCCCATCCCCACCCACGCACACACACACACTTCCCTATCCATTAGCTAGAATTCTGCAGAAAATGGGAATTAGATTCCTTCTGCGTATGACTGATTGGGCAGCTCTTCCAAAGAGCCGGCTCAAGTATGATGGGCCAAATGGCCTTCTTCTGTACTCTAATATTTTATGATTCTATGTCTCTCGAGAGGTGGGGGGTGAAGAGAGGACAGGGACTCAGTAGTAATGGGTGCAGGTCACCCACATACATGACCAGCCATAGAAACAACCTCGGAGATTGACCCGTGGAGCTAAATGAAACACACAATAAGCACACTTTGCTGTCCTGGTGCAGAGTGTGACTTCACGCCAGCAGTGACTACAGGGAGCAGAGACTTTAGTTACCATGTTTGGTGCTGCATCGGAGCCGGAAATCCAACACTTGGTAAATCTTGGCTTTGGAGTCTTTCCTTGGATCGTAGCCAAACCTGACCCAGAGACTGCGCCAGGGGCCGGTCAGCTGCAGCAAAGCCGGGGACAAAACAGGAGAGATATAAATCTTAATAGTTGTGCACTCATCGGCTTTCACAGTGTGCGTCACATCAACCGAGCAGCCTCACTCATTAGCAGGACTTGGAAGGGCAGATCAGTCACTGATGGCAGGGATTGTTTCAACTCAGCTCCTGTTTACTCTGCAAGCCAAAGCCCTATCTGACAGGGTGGTCCTAGCTGGACAAGCAGCAGACAGTGCTATCAATGGGAAGCTATGCAGTTTTAGCTGGTTAGATTTCAGCAGCAAGTTTCTGAGTCCCCAACCAACCGGCGCATTATACTCTCCGGAATAAGCAAGCAGGATGCATCCCTCCAATGAGAGTGCAGGTTCCATTCCAGACAGAGTGACATTTCCATGTGTAGGTTACTCTCAGTCTGGTTCACTTTGAAGCACGGTGATGGGTTTTGTATTTGTCAGACATTAGCCTGACCAAAACTAAAACTGGATAAACCAACTGGACTAAAGAGAAAGACACAATTGCCCGTTTGTGATACTCATTATATTGTTTAAACTGTAACCTAATAGAGAATGTGGCTCACCATGTAATAGGCAACAAAAGGCAGCAGCACCTTCAGCTTGTCGGGGTGGATGTCGATATTCGCCTTCACAGCATTTCGTGACCAGATGGGTCGGATCTTGAACAGCTGGGACACAAGACACACACAGGATGATGTGGGAAACACCTCACTATCTGACTTAGATGATTGCACTGAATGAATTGGCCACGAGGCAACAACAACAAATTACATGTTCACGTCAGGAGGATGGCCTAAGGCACTGGACAGTCAAGGATTTGGATCCGAGCTGGGGGTTTGGATCATGAGGGGAGGAGGGCAGATAGGGTGTGGTTAGGAGGGCGAGGGTAGGAGGGGTGGAGGTAGGAGGGTAGGGGGAGGAGGGTAGGGAGACATTACCTTGCCCAGGTCGTCCTCGGCCCTGTTGTCCGCAGCCTGGGTGTTAAACTTCCTCCAGTTCTGGACGGCGGCTTCCAGAGGCTCGGACGGAATCTCAGGGTCATCGAAGTTCACAAATATAGCGTTGTGCGGGCGCCGGGCACGGCCCAGCCCGATCAGGTTTTCATTAGACAGTTTGGGAGGATGGTAGCCCTCCCTGGGGAAACAAGAGGATAAACTTTGTGGGTAACATTCCCCCTATGTCCATCACACAAGACTTGGAACACAAGACACACATAGGATGATGTGGGAAACGCCTCACTACACTTCCTGATGTGCAGAACAGCATGATTCAGTTCCTCTGCCCTCTCTCTGTACAGAGCTGGGAGGAGGCATTGCCACAGACTTTACCGCAGACCGCGCTCCCAGGCGATACCGCACATGAAGTGCGTTAATTAAATGTAGGTTGTTTTTTTATGCAGAAGAGAAGGTTGAGGGGTGATATGATTACGGTATTTAAGATTGTGAAGGGACTAGATTATGTGGACCATGATAAGCTGTTTTATCTCTCCCTCAATCCCTTGGCCTGGCCCCCTCCCTCCCCACCTTCTTATCCCACCTAAAGACCTTCCTTTTTGATCGTGCTTACGATCACCTTTCCCATCTCTCTGCCCCTGGCGCGGTATCAGACTCTGCCACTATTAAGCGCTCCGTGACATTACCTCTCGTGAAGGGCGCTATATAGATGCAAGTTGCTATTGTTGAATGTGCAGTAAACAAGGTGGAGTCTATGGTCCTGCATCAAGTGTTTGAATACATTTTAAAATTTACTGCAGATTTTACTGTAGGAACTGAGAAATAACTTGTTTAAAGGGTAAACCACTAGCAGAGATCACCTTCAGCGCTGTGTATACTGACCTGTGCTGGATGTCCGGCCGGTAGAAATAATCCACGGGGTTATCCAGACGGGAAAAGATGGGAGGAGGCACATACAGTGGCAAATCCTGGTCAAAAAACTCCTTGTGCTCCGGTTTCCGCAGGAGAACTTTATCATACATGGACACTGAGGATCCATCAGACGCACTGTGTATGCCCAGAAACTGGAAATCTGACATTCCTGTCACACAATCAAACACACCTGACATAACAGTGCAATCACACACACACCTGACAGGACACCGCGCAGAGCATTGAGAGATTACACAACCAGAAACAATTCACAATTCAGAATCTTAGACAAGGATAAATTGTCACATACATCACAGACAAACGTCAGCCTGGCTCAGTCGCTTGTACTCTCACCTCCAAATCAGAAGGTTGTGGGTTCAAACTCCACTACCGAACATTTCGAGCTCACAGTTTAGGCTGACATTCAAGTACAAAGTGTTGACAATGTCGAAGGTGCTCTGTCTCTAACCTGTGCCATAGCTGACCTGGGAGTATGGACGGACAGTGCAGAGGGATCTTTACTTTGTCTTTAACTCAAGAGGTTACTGACATGGGAGTGTGGACGGATTGTAGAGGGAGGTTTCCTGCTCTGCTTTACCCTGTGCTGTTGCTGACCTGGAAATACTGGATACAGAAGTTGGGAAAGTACACAGGATGGGAAGAGGCTCGAGTCCTATTCATTTAAAAATGAAACTTTCCCATCTCCACTTTGTATAGAACCAGTGAGAAACAAATCAGAATTAAAAACATCCACGAGTCCCGCACTGCAAACAGCAGATTGCACAGAGAAACTAACACCTCACCCTGAAATTTATACGTGGTCCCGATAAGCCCCAGGATTTCCAGTTCGTATGTAAAGTCTCCGTCCCCGCTGTGGGGTGAGGCTGGGTCTCCGGGACCCTCGGCCTTGTGTCTGCACCTGCGGACCCTGAGCAGCAGGCTGGTGGCAGGGAAGCGGTTGGCACACACCGGGTGGCAGTACGGATCCTTCGGGCGGAAATAAAGCTCCAGCCGCCTGGTAGGGTCTGCGTAGGTCTTCATGCAAACAATTTACAATGATTATTATTGCTCTGCCTTCCCTCACCTCCATAACATCGCCCGACTCCGCCACTACCTCACCCCTCAGGCCGCCGAAACTCTTGTTCATGCCTTCATCACCGACTATGCAAATGCCCTGTTTGTCGGCCTTCCCCACTCCTCCCTCCACAGGTTGTAGATAATCCAGAACTCTGCCGCCCGTGTCCTCTCCCGCACCAAACTCCATGACCCCATCTCCCCATTCTCGCCCGACTCCATTGGCTCCCTATCCTTCAGAGGATCCAGTTCAAGATCCTGGTCCTCACCTACAAAGCCCTCCATGGCCTCACCCCACCCTACCTCTATGGCCTCCTAACCCCCTACCAACCCGCCCGCTCCCTCCGCTCAGTCGGCTCCTGTCTGCTCCACGTCCCCCGACCCACCCGCCCCACCATTGGCGGGAGAGCCTTCAGCCACTCTGCCCCCAACCTCTGGAATTCCATCCCCCGGTCACTCCGCCTCGACCCCTCCTTAGCCTCCTTCAAGTCCCTCCTCAAGACCCTCCTCTTCAACCATACCATCGGCCACCCCCCTTCCTCCCCCCCACCCCCCTGACCCCCCCCCGACCCCAGCGCTCGGGTCTGAAACGCTGTACACTGTCCAGCGCTTTGGGACGTCCTCCCGACGTGAAAGGCGCTGTACACATGTAATCTTGTTGTTGTTGTTGTTGTTGTTGTATTATGGACAGAGTCAACTGTGGGGGAGGGGTTGGGGGGAGGGGTTGGGGGCAGAGGGAGGGGCTCACCCTGGACACGCCCTCCTCGCCCCCCAGGGAGGCCAGGGCGGCGGGTACACTCCTCACCACCCCCGGGTATTCGGCGCAAACCAACCGCCGGCGCGAGTCAAACTCCAGCTGGAAACTCGGCCCCGGTCCCCGCACCGGGCCCGGGCCTCCCGCCGCCCCCCGCACCGGGCCCGGGCCTCCCGCCTCCCCCGCACCGGGCCCGGGCCTCCCGCCGCCCCCCGCACCGGGCCCGGGCCTCCCGCCTCCCCCCGCACCGGGCCCGGGCCTCCCGCCTCCCCCCGCACCGGGCCCGGGCCTCCCGCCGCCCCCCGCACCGGAGCCTCCGCCGCCATCGCCCCGGGGTTTGCTGCGTTCCTCTCCGAATCTCGTCCCCCGGACACCCGCTCCGCCCGCACAAAGGTTCCGGGCACTGGAGGGACGGTCTCACACACACACACACACACACACATTAATAATAATAATAATAATAATAATACCCGCGGCCTTGACGGTGGGGAGTACCGGCATTGGTCAGTCCGGTTTCAGTGCTTTTGAAACTCTGCGCGAAACAAAAACGGTCTTCAAAGGGGAAAGAGAGAGAAAGAAGCATTTTTGACTTTTTTTGAAATGAATCAAAAATCAGGTGTTTTTTTTCACGCACAAACCCGACCCCTCCTCCTCCTCCACACCGGGAGTGGCCCCTCACACACACACACACACACACACCGGGAGTGGCCCCACCCCCTCCACACACAGGGAGTGGCTCCTCCCACACACACACACACACACACACACCGGGAGTGGCCCCTCCCCCCCCCACACACACCGGGAGTGGCCCCTCACACACACACACACACACACACACCGGGAGTGGCCCCTCCCCCCCCACACACACCGGGAGTGGCCCCTCACACACACACACACACACACACACCGGGAGTGGCCCCTCCCCCCCCCACACACACCGGGAGTGGCCCCTCACACACACACACACACACACCGGGAGTGGCCCCTCACACACACACACACACACACACACCGGGAGTGGCCCCACCCCCTCCACACCGGGAGTGGCCCCTCCCACACACACACACACACACCGGGAGTGGCCCCTCCCACACACCGGGAGTGGCCCCACCCCCTCCACACCGGGAGTGGCCCCACCCCCTCCACACCGGGAGTGGCCCCACCCCCTCCACACCGGGAGTGGCCCCACCCCCTCCACACCGGGAGTGGCCCCACCCCCTCCACACCGGGAGTGGCCCCACCCCCTCCACACCGGGAGTGGCCCCACCCCCTCCACACCGGGAGTGGCCCCACCCCCTCCACACCGGGAGTGGCCCCACCCCCTCACACCGGGAGTGGCCCCTCCCCTCTCCACACCGGGAGTGGCCCCACCCCCTCCACACCGGGAGTGGCTCCGCCCCTTCATTGGGTTAACACTTTTTTATTAGTTTTTTCTGGTTTTATTACACCCTTTGAGCTAATACGCCGACAACTGTGTTAAGGTTCTACATTAATCGTATCCGGGTATCAGTTATTATAATAATCCCACATTTAGTGCAGTGCCTTTCACGTGGGGAGGATGGTCTCAAAAGCGCTTCACCAGATTTACTGTGAAGTGTAGTGACCGTGCGTTTGGTTGTAGAAAATATTATTGCTTTAGATATCAACACTGAGCAGAGAGGAGACGCTTGGTTTTTGAGCGCTACAAAAGGAGCGTGAGATTCGGAGGCATTTTTCTTTTATATGAACAGGTTGTTTGTCCTAAACGATATGAATCTCTGCTTTCGCTGCAAGTCGTGTGTAAAATTTAAAGTCTGTCCGGCTTGCTGGTTTTTAAACTGCCCTCAAGGCTCACCAAATTATAATTTTACATTCAAAAAGGGTTTTAAAACAATTGCCTCTGTGCTGCGCTTCGTCTGAGAGGAGCGGCCCCTCTCCGCACAATTCACATATCTGTATTAAAAGTTATATATCCCATACGTGGGCCTGATCTGATATTAAATTCCCCTCTTTGCAAAGTAAATGCCACTCTTTGCACACCTCATGGACAAAGTCTAATGAATACATTATAACTAGTATAAAAACAGACGTCACTTGGGAACACTCAGCAGGTTAAGCAGCATCTACGGAGGGAGTTAAGTGGATAAACATTTTAGGTCGATGACCTTTCATCAGAACTAGTAATCTGTTCCAGGACTGGCAATAGGGAGGAGACTCACATAGAAATAAAGGTTTGCAGCAGCCATCTGATCTCTGATCTTTAACATCCACCTGACAGCAGCCTGGACCTAAGGTTTAATTGTTTCATCCTGAAGATGGTGTGACTGGCAATGCAGCACTTGCCCAACACTGCAAAGCATCAGCCTCAACTGTGATCAAGTCTCAGTGTGGGGCTTCATACATGCAACCTGCTGACCCACAGGCAAGAGTGGTGTGAGTCTGAGTTAGGGGCAAGGGGAGAAGAAAGGAACAATGGCTAGTGGATAGAAACTCTTAGGTGATTTCCCCCTCTACCCTGAGTGTTTACTCAGATACTGTTACTAACACCACTGCTGTGGATATGTGGGAGGTTCCATTTAGAGGCTTAAGATTGAAAGCATGAAGACATATGCAACTTGTAGATGGTAGCCCTTTATTAATCACTGCGCCTCAACCCAACTCAAAGCCCAAGACCAGACCACCCACACTACGTGAGTTACCAAAGCCAATCACCCTCTCACCTCCCACCCCCACCTCCAACACCAACACACAACCATTGAGCAAGGGCACTTGGGGATAAATGATAGCCGTACGCGTAGTGTGCGAGTGGGTAAATCAGTGGTGTGTGGGGGGTGTGGACGAGGGGTAATACAGGCATGTGGGGGGGAACAAGGGGTAAATTACAGGTGCGGGGACAGGGAGAAGGGGAAGAGTAAATCAGTGGGGTGGGAGAGAGGAGAGTAAATAACTGGAGGGGAGATTGCGTAAGTCACTGGTGTGGAGGAGGGAACAACAAAGAGTGGTAAATCAGTGGTGGTGGTGTGAGGGGGGGGCGGTGGTGAAAAACAGGTGAGGAGAGCATTTCTCTTACTTCATAATAATAAAATCTCAAAGTCACTGTGGGATTGATAAGAGAAAAACAAAAGTCAGTCCAGCCTTTTGAAAACACTGGGTGCTGCCCACACAGAACACCACAGGGTCATTCTGACAGGGTCAGTCACCAAGCACACTTCGGGGGGGAGGGGGGGGGGGCAGGGAGCAGTAGAGGAGGGGGATAATGGTCTAGCCCGAAGGCCTGGGGGGGGCTGTTACACAAAGACACATTTTACGTACAACGTTGTAGTGCAAAAACATTTAAGAGGAATTCTTTGTTCACAGTTACACAGGTATTTGTCAGCTTTTGGAGGGCACGAGGGGGGGGGGGGGGAGAAGGGGAAAGAGTTTTTTTTTAATATATAAACATTCCACTGAAGAAGCACATGGTCCTTAACTGGATTGTACCTTTTTTTTTCTAAAACAGAAATGAACTGTTGTGACATGCTTACAAAGCAAAGCAGCTGTAACCGCTCAGCGTAATACTGACTGATTCTTTTTCCGTCTCTTCCGCTCAATTCTGCTCCTGATGGGTCTCGTTGTAGTCCATGATGCTGAGCTGCCGCACATTCTCCGAGCTGATGGCCCGAGCTGCCATGTGCTGGAGCTTTGGGGGCCCCAGGGAGCTGCCCAGCTCCACGCAGTACTCGGTTTTGAGGGAGTCCGAGAGGCTGTGTATCTTGGGCCGTTCGCTGTCACACTGGCTCTCGCTCTTGTTCCTGAACAACTTGCGGGCTTCCATCCCAAGAAAGCTCCTGGAGCTGGGATAGGAGCCGACAGTCACTGGGGCGGGGGGCTGCTCCAGCAGGATGGGGATCCCAGATTCCGCACTTCCGCTGAGCAGTTCCAGAACTCCGGGGGCCTGAGATGCTGGCTTCCCGACTGGACACTGGTCACTCGTGCTGGTGGCCAGGGTGGGGGTCTGCGCTTCTCTGCTGCTCGCGCTCTCTGTACCTGGGCTCTGGTGATCTGAATTGGCACTGATGTTCTCAGCCCTATATAAAAGGAAGAATTAATTGTGAGCAGAGACTCTGTACTCGTTTCCCCAGACGTCACTGCTCTCCATCAGTCGGTTTCAGAACAGAGGCGACCCCGGGGGTAGCCTGAATTCTGCACCGAGCCATTGGCAAGGCAGCTCGCCCACATCCTGCTCCTGTAAATCCACAGGTGATGGCAGCACGGACAGCCCGGTTTCTCCTCAGTCTGATTCTGCACCAGGTGTACACCAAGTGTGGTTCAGTAGCAGTTGCCAATGAGTCAGCCCAGACATTCAAATGGTTAGAAATACCCAGAAAACGTGAAGTTGTGACACAAAAATAATCCTGATTTTCAGTACACATCACAATGTTGTCTCAAAACACTTCACAGGATTTACTGTAAAAAAAGTGACTATTTGGCAGGTGAATCACAGCAGCTATTTTGCCCACAGCAGTGTCTCCCAACAACAGCCATAAAGCTAATGTTATTGGTTTGTTGGCCAGGATACTGGAAGAAATTCCCATCTCTATTCAAATAGTGCCATGGGATCCTTTTAACATCCACCTGAACAGGCAGAGAGGACCTCGGTTTAATATCTCACTGTAAGGACAGCACCCTTGATAATGCAGCATACCCTCAGCACTGCACTGGAGCGTGAGCTTAGACTATATGAGCTCAAAGTCCCGACGTGGGGCTTGAACCCACAACCTCCTGACTCCGAGGCAAGAGCCAGCTGAGACGCACTATCACCAAGGACACCCGAAGGATGGGCTGAGCTTCACTACCATGTTATCGTGAGAATGTAATGTGGGAGAAATGGCTGTTGCAAAACATGGGAGACCAGAGACCATGAACTGAGATGCTGGCAGACTGGAGGGGCCCATTCCATCATCAATGGTAGGATCTCATCTTCCAGAGGTGAAAGGATACAGTGAGTGCACGTGAACTCCACCCAACTATACTGAGCCACTTAAATAAAAGTTGTTGAGAACACTCAGTAGATCATCGACCTAAAACGTTAAACTCAGTTTGCTCTCGCTATAGATGCTGCCTGACCTGCTGAGTGTTCCCAGCGATTTCTGTTTATATTTCAGATTTCCAGCATGTGCAGTATTTTGTGCCACTTAAAGCTGGCCTCACCTGCTGGCCTCGGGGCTGGCCGGGGACAGCTTCTCTGGAGGCTCAGAGTGCTCGATCTTGCTGTAGAGTTCCAGGATCTCGGACTGCAGGGTTTGCGTTATCCTTTTCTGGGCTTCGTAGCGACTCTCTGCAGCCTGCAACTTCCCACTGAAAGGTCAGACCCAACAACACTCAAACACACAGCATTTTCAGCTAGTCCTGACTCGCAGGTATATCAGTTCTGCCAGACATTCACACACCACACCGTTTTAAAGCCCTGGCCTCGTCTCTCCCCATCAGCCTGAGCCCACAACTTCCTGACTCAGATGGCACCGGTCCCATCGCTCACTGGGCAATCCCATCAAAGAGATCCCAACACAACAGTACCCTCATTCCCAAGTGCTGCCACCTTCTGCACATTCTATATTGACAGTAGTTAGCAGCTTGACGCCTAGTTCAAAACATGCAACCGACTGCGACCACTCCCAACACACTAGTTTATCACGTGATTCATTGCTCGCTACCGCATCCCTGCACACTTCACTCCAACCCTGCACCCCCCCCCGGTCCCATCGCTCACTGACCTGGCCATGTTTTTGACGTTCTCCAGGTACTTTTTCTGCTCGAGGAAGAGGTGCTCTTTCTTGGCCAGCTGCCCCTCCAGCTCGAGTATTCTGCGCAGCGCTGCTTCCAGCCGCTGGCCCTGCTGCTGCAGCCCCTGCTTTACCCGCTCAACTTCCCTCTGAGACGAAACCTGCAGCATCTCCGTCTCCACAGCCTGGGGACGGCAGGCAGACCGCGGGGTTAAACCCTCGCTCGTAGGCAGAGACCAGCAACATCAGCCACACAACCGGAGAGACTAGAGAAGCTCTGAATAATTGCCTTAGAAGGTTAAGGGGAGATTTCCTAGAGGTGCTCAAAATGATTAGGGGTTTTGATAAGAGTAAAATGAGGAAAAACTATTTCCACTGGCAGGTGGAAGGGTCAGTAACGAGAGGACATAGATTTAAGAGAATTGGCAAAAGAACTAGAGGGGAGACCAGGAGAATACTATTTATTTATTTTTAATATAAAAACGAGGCGAGTTGCCATGATCTGGAATGCGCCGCCTGAAAGGCTGGTGGGAGCAGATTCAATACTAATTTTCAAAAGGGAATTGGAAATATATTTGAAAAGAAACATTTAACATGGAGTCCTGTAGCTCAGTGGTTGTGGAGTCCTGTAGCTCAGTGGTTAGAGCACTCGCTTTGCAAGCGAGAGACCTGAGTTCAATCCCAGGCAGAGGGCGAAACCTTGGGCAAGTTTCCTTACTCCACACAGAGCCTAATAATAATCCCTCCAAAACAAAACAATAATAAATTGGTCATTTTCGATCCATGACTGTTTGTGGGACATTGCTGTGCGCAATTGGCTGCCGCGTTCGCCCACAAATATACAGTCAATTCACTTTACAGTATATTCTGTGAAGTGCTTTGGGACGTCCTCCCGACGTGAAAAGCGCTATATCAAATGCAAGGATTATTATTATTATAAGCCAGGCTCTGAAGAGCGGGGGAGCAGGACTAATTGGTAGCTCTTTCAAATGGACGGTACAGGCATGATGAGCCGAATGGCCTCCTTCTGTGCTGTAAGATTCTATGATAACATGCCACGTCTTGCATAATGGCCAGAACAAACAGTTCTTCCATTCACTCCCCACTCACGTCTAGAGAGCTTTAACACAGGAGGGAGACTTTAGGCCCACTGAGTCTACCTCTCAAACAGCAACTCATTCAGTGCCTCCCTCTCGAATACCCCAACAGATTATTCTTTTACATCTTGATGTAGAAAGCTGATTAGGGGCTGGCCTGTACCTTTGGTGCCTTGTGTAGTAACTTACCTTGCAGTGGGTCTGTGCCTGCAGCAGTTTGGCCACGTACAGCTCATTCACTTCACTCAGGAGCAGCAGCTGCTTGTTCAGCCACTCCATCTGTTGCTGCACAGACTGCGTACTGGTGAACTGCGAATAAAGCCACCAATCTGTCAGCTCAGCCAGTGAAGCACACAACCCACTCACCTCCCACCCCGCACCCCCGTAATAGGGTCCCCTACACATCTCCTTGCCCACTGCTCTTGCCCCCCCACCACCCCTCACATACACGTGCGTGCCGGGACCAATCTGGAATGATTTAACAGTGGGACGTCCCCCGGTGTGAAAGGTGCTCAATAACTGTATTGGCGCGAGGTGTGTGTGGGCCTTACTTTCTCCGTCATCTGGTTGAGGAGATACTCCGTGTTGCAGGCTTTGTTGTTGGCTTTCTGTAACTCCACCTTCAGCTCCCCAATCATCTTCTGACAGTCCTGTAGTTTATTCTGAAGAACAAAATCAATACAACAGTCACTACACCCAACAATCTCCCAATAACATGCACAGTACGCAGAGCGAAGCCCCCCCCCCCCCAAAGAGTAACATGGCAACAAGCCGGCTATTCAGCCATTGAGCTTGTTTCACCAGTTTATTAAATTTTAGCAGATTTTTAAAATTCCAATACCTCTTACACCTCTCCGCTTTAAGTATCTGTGTGTCTGTGTGAGCGTGTGATTAAGCACACCCCCCAACCCCCCCTCCCAGCTCCCCTGGATGTCAGGACAGACCTGCAGCTCCTGGCAGCTGGCCCGGTATGAGTCCCGCTCTCTCTGAAGATGTGCAATCTGGGTGTTGAAATACTGAACCACGGATTCCTTCTCTGCCTTCAGCTGCCGGTACTGCATCTGCTCCACCGACAGGCTGCGCTTGAACAAGGCCAGGTCCGTCTCCTGCAGCTTCAGCTGGTCTTTCTGCCAGAGCAGGGTGGGGAGGAGGGGGGCATGGAGAGAGAGAGAGAGCAAATGGTTTGTTACCGACAGAGAAAGAGAGAGAGAGACAAACCACGGCCATCTTTCCCTCTTCTCCCGCTTCCTTCCCTCCCTCCGCACGTGCAGTTCCCTGCAGTGGGCAAGAAACCGCGAGCAGGGGTTACAATCAGTGCTTGAGGGTCGGGGCGGGCACAGTTGTGAGCGCGGGACAGCATGTGGCAGCCTCACCATGGCCAGGTTCTGCTCCTCCAGCGCCGTGGCCTTCAGAATCTTGCGCAGGAGCCTGCGGTTGCGGACGGCGTGCTGCTCCCGCTTGTAGCGCTCGTACAGCAGCTGTGTGTGCAGCAGGACTAGCTGGTTCCTGAGCGTGTGCAGCTCGTCCAGCGGGGCACAGCCTGCAAACAACACACCAGCTCACAGCAACACGCAGCACCGTGTGACACCGCAGTGTAACAGACCCCACACGGGGCTGTGAGGGAGCCACTCATCTCATCTGGCTCCACCACAGCCTCACAGCCCTTTCCGAGGCTCATTCCCCCCACGCCCGCCCAACACACAAGTCATCATACCTCCCTTTGATTTTTTTCTGGTGGAAGGAGCTAACACATGCAGAAACACCCAATGCTTAAGATTATCTAAACCAAGCTGAGAATTCCGTGCATCCCACCTACACGTGGAAATCCCAGAGAGATTGTTGGAATGGAATGCACACTCTCTCTCCGGAGGGACACATCCTTCTTACCTAATCCCAGAGATTATTAGGCGCAGGTTGGCAACAGCCAAGAATTGGGAACCCCCGAGTGTGCCACCTCCCCCATCCACCCACACAGACTCCTTCTCTCCCCCCCCACCACCCCAACAAAAGGCCCTTGCAGCAACCCCTCCCTTCACCCAGAGCCAGAGACCCAGACAAGAAATTATTTATTTACCTCCAAAGTGAGTCCAATCTGCAGATTTGCTGGGCAAAGGCAATCTAAATTAGTGTATGAAAACAGCCAGTGAGAAAAGTCACTCCTCACACACAGCTACACCACCCCAAACAGCACTCATTCATAAAGACATTGAGATAAAACGATCTTCAAACAAAACACAGCATTAGTATTTTTTGTGTGGAAATCGCTGTGAGTTTCTCCAAACTGTAAACCCTGTGGTAACCGGGGGAGTGTGGCCCCCAACACATTGGTGGGCAGATTGAGCAGACAGCCAGTGGGTGGGTTTCACACCAGTTCTCACCCGTTGCTGGCGGACGGTAAGATTCATCAGATTAAACCTCGTTTGCAAATCAGCTCGTTGGTGAATTTGTGTTTTAATGCGAAATGTCAAACTTGGGAAATTGAACTTTTGAAACTTAAGCAACAAAAAACTATCTGTTTTTTTTATTTTTCTTTTACAGTTAATCACACACGGAAACCCATCACCGTGACAATTCTTAAAAGTTCACAGATGGTTTCAATCTCTTTAGTACGGAATGTGAGCCCCAGAGAGACTCACCTAATCCGGGAGAGTCTTAGGCGCAGGCTGGCAAGAGGCAAGGCTTGGGGACCCAGTGTGTCCTTTGGGGAGATTGCTGAAGTTTAACCAGCACTGGCAAGCTTGCTGCTGTTTGCCCAGCGAGGACAATGCTACAGGTTAGGGCTTTGCTGGCAGACACTAGGGGCTTGTAATTCGCTGTCTCCATGCTTTGTACAGTCGCTTGTGGTGTGGGGACTGAATTCACAACGCAGCAATGTCCCACAAACAGCCATGAGTGACCAATTTATTTTCGGTTGTCCAAGACACCCAGAGAAACTCCCTACTCTTTTTAAATAATGCCGTGGGATCTTTAACAGCCACCTGAACAGGCAGACTGAACCTCAGTTTAATGGCTCATCCGAAGGACGGCACCTCCAACAATGCAGCACATTGCATTGGAGTGTCGACTTAAACTATGTGAGTTCAAGTCGTAACGTAGGGTTTGATCTCACAACCTTCTGACAAGACAAGAGTGCTACCACTGTGCCAGGTTATAAAGGGAAGACGGCCAGTTGTAGAAAATAGGCGCTGCTATATTCAGGCTCATCACAGAATCGACAAGTCTTGATCCAGCTCCAAACACAGAGCACAGAAGCACAGAAACATGGATCTTTCGCACTGTTCGAGGACCCTTAGGAATGATCGACACTGGCCCCAATACTGGAACCACAACACCAAAGCAGTCACTACTGAGAGTGTTAGCAAAATATCACAAACAACTGAGGAGGATTATTGGAACCTGAGTTGATTATTACTGGATCTGTGTGACCTCAGTACACTTACCTGACTGGTTTTCTTTGGCCCTGGAGTTGACCCTGCTGGGGATGGACTCTAAAACAAGATATTTCGGAGGCATTTTCATCAGTTACCCTTTCCATCGTAACTGCAAACCATCAAATTCTCTCAGTCAACCAGAATCTCACGAGTGTTACTGGAGCCCACAGCAAACAGCCGAGTATCACCTGGGAGTGAGAGGTGCTCACTCAAACCCAGCAGGAGCACGGCTCAGCCCAGCTCTTGGCTGGACGACTATTGTGAGAGCAGTGAGCAAGTGGAGTTTACGTGGGCAGAAACCTCCTGCTCCTGAAGGCATCTCGCTCTTGGGAATAAAGAGCATTGCACACAGCGCTCGCTCACAGGTGAGATCCAGTAACAGTGGGATTTGCAGGGACAGAGAAACATTCCCCAAACAGAGCTGATTTTTTAGCAGGAGCCCCCAATCCCTGTTCAGGGCTCTCTGCACCTTAGTCTTACCGGTTCAGCTCCTTGACGTGCGCGTCGGCTCCACACTGAATCAGTTTGTCCAGCACCTCCAGCGGTGAGATGGCAGAGACCGGAGCAGGCGACGAGCTCCCCGAAAGCCTGGTGGCTTTCTTTTGCAGCTCGGACGTCTTGTGGCTGATGTAGAGACTGGCCGTCCTGGGCAAGGCCAGCTCAAACAGATGCTCGTACGGCAGCGGCTGCCCACTGCCCAGAGCAGGATGCGCCTGGACCCTGAACAGAGGGTCGGGTGTAAAGGGCACCAGCGATCTCGGTCCTTCTTTGACCACCTCCTCCCGTTTAACCGGGCTTCCATAACAGTTTGCACCTGGTTTCTCGATGGGCATAAATCCCCGTCTGGCAGAGCACGGCTCTTGCCTGGGAGCCTCCGCGGGCTTGCTGGCTGTAGCGCACACTTGCCGCTGCTCAGAGCATGGTCCTTGGTCGATGGACACAGAGTACAAATCCTGCTCGTGTTTCAGCTGAGGGCCTGTGAGAGTCTCAGTGGTGCGCTGGAAAGGGGAGTCAAAACCTCCATGTGTGACCAGCAAGTGATGATCCAGGGGCGTAATCTCAGAGAGTTCCTTAGTAATCGCAGCTGTTGAGCAAAGCAGAAATCAACCGTCGTGTAATGATCCCTTACAGACCATTCTGCCTTTGAGCGTCCACCATGGTGAACCATGAAGAGACAACAACAAGCTAACTACTTGCCTCTGGGAGGATGCATCTTGCATCCTCACCCCACCTCCCAACCCATCCCTGTGAGGGGAAGAAGAACAACATGCATTTAAATAGCCCCCCGTCCCTCACGCAGGGCAGAGTCCCAGAGCGATTGAAAAAGAGAACGGGAGAAATAAGAGACAAGGTACAGAACGACCATGAGTTATAAAATAGGCAAATGGCTTCCTCCTGTTCCTTTTCTCCAGATCGTATGTTAGTTAGAACACTGACAACATGTTCGATAGCACGTTTCATTCTGAAAAGACCAGATTTTTTTTTTAAAAATGTGAAAATAACTAATTTGCCAAATTGACTATCCCTTGTTCACGGCAAGAGGAGAACCTTGGGCTGATGGTGATGGAACTGGATCATTGAACGGTTACATTGCAGGCAGAAAGGCACTGAAATCTATAGCAAACACACCTTCTTCACTCTCCTTTTCACTTCCATCCTCTTGAGGATTTAAGCCATCTATAACCTCGGACAACTCCCTCATAGACACTGTTTTGCGATCCCTGGGCTCCAGACCTAGACAGACGACACAAACAAGAGGATAAAATTGGATCAAGAAATACTTTATACACACAACAGCTGCCATTTACACACAGGAAGGTCCCATAGATAGTCAGTGGCTGAATGACTGTATCCAAACTATTGTTGACCAGGACACTGGGAGAAACTCCCTTTTCTAACAGTGTCACAGGAGCTTTAAAGTCCACCTAAACACGCAGAGGCACATTGACGTCTATTCAAAGAGATGGTGCCTCCAACAATGCAGCACTGCCCCCAGCACTGCCCTGGAGAGCCAGCCTACACTGAGCCTGACTGCGGGGAAGAGACTCAGAGGATGAATGGAAGGAGTGAGGCACAGCGACGTTCTGTATAAAGCTAACGGAAGGTTTACTTCACTCACCGCTCGGGACCTCGTCAGCAGTCACGTACTGCTGCCTGCTGTTCAGCAGCTTCCCTGTGGGTAGTTTACCATCCTGTAAAAGAATGACCCAACAGTGTAACAGCTCAGTGGCCAGTGAGCCACGCTTCCTCCAGCAGCCAGGAATTACACCTCAAGACCAAGAACTTTGCAACAGAACACAGCGCCTGTTCACGTGATCAAGACTTCTCAAAGCGCTTCACAGGATATACTGTAAAGTGGATTGGCTGTACTTTGTGGGCGAAACGCGGCAGGCAGTTTCTCCCCCACATGCGCACAGTAGTGCCCATGGAATGAGAGATTTTCTTGAGGCGCTATAATTGGCCTCAGCAGCACAAGGCGGGAGGTGAGAGAATTCTGCAACTACCGCCTCGATTTGCAAACTGCTTTTGAACTCCCGGGATTGAAGGTTTTCCAAATCTCTCCAGCATCTCAAATTTCAAGACAATGGTCTTCAGGTAGGAAGAGAAGGAAGGGCTGAGAGTCTTCAAGCCTCAAATGTCCTGGCCATCCACACAAGAGCGTGTGTCACAGCAACTGCAATCTCTCAAACAGGAACGTGATCAATCTCGAGCCCAGAGCCACATGCGCCAAGACCGGAACCTTCTCCGACTGGGGAACGTGGGGATCGGAGGTATATATATATATATGTGTGAGATCACCCCGATTTCAGGACACAATGACCACTTCTCAACAGACCTCTGTACACAGACGTTTGCACGGTAGTAAGTTACCTTCCTCGGTGATGCTGGAACCGGCAGGAGGGAATCGTGAGCAAACTCCTCTGCGAGGGCCGACAGGGGCGTGGAGACAGCGGATACATCAGTGGAGGTCCCCTTCCCACCTTTAAAACAGGAGGATACAGACAGAGCGGCATAGCGCTGGGGTGAGATAGCTCCTGACGCTCGATCAAGCAATGTGGACGCGTCACAAAGTACAGAGAATGGTAGACCACACCACACCCGGACCCACACGAATAGTTTCTGCCTACCGAGTCAGGTAGGCCAGAAGTTCCAGTGTGAAAGGCGAACTGAAGCAAAGCCCAGTCTCCGTGCCTCCACTTTCTGACCCTCTGGGGTAGGAGACACAGCCAACAAACAATGACAAATCACATTTGTAACGATCCTTTCACGTCAGGAGGACGTCCCAAGGAGCCAGAGAGTGAACAAGTTAACTCTTCACTGTGCTCCTCCTCACAGCTGCAGCCAGCCTGATAATCCTTGCATTTGACATAGCGTCTTATCACGCCATTGAAGCTCTTAAAGTGGAGCCAACTGCACACAGCAATCACACAGGCGCACAGCCTCGATAGAATACATACCAGGGGTACTGTGGACCTGGCCCTGTGGGCCTGAGGTATTCTGCGACACCTCGAATGGGTTAATTGGTGAAAGTCCTCGAGAGGAAGGAGGTGTGGACATGCCGCAGGCTGAAGACGGACTCCACAGACTGTCCTACAAGAGAGACGTTCAGACCCTGAGCTGGGGATGACTTCCCGGTCTCGGCCGCCTGGCACACAGTGGGGAAGGTTGACTTGCTCACCTGGAGTCCATCTGCGGGCAGGTGCTGGGAGGTGGGGGGCGTCTTGTACCGTGACTGGGAGCCCGAGAGGCTATGGAGAGATCGCCGGCAGGTATAAGGTGCAGAGGAGGCACTCCCTAAACACGCACCAGGAGACGGGTTAATGTCAATAGCTCGTTTCCAACTGAAAACTCTGTTAAGCTGCAGTACTGATCCCCGAAAACCGCACATAACCCTCAATCCCTCAGCCTCATGGTGCGTCTCTAAGAAGCTTTTTAGGATGTGGAATAATAATACTTGTAACTGGTAATATCGGCTTATGTCGTCTCAAAGCGCTTCACAGAATATACTGTAAAGTGGAGTATTTTGTGGGCGAAACGCGGCAGCCGATGGCAAAGAGGAAAGTCTGAGGTGGGCCTTGAAGGAGGCAAGGGAGGGGGAGGCGAGTCAGAGGGATTCAGATGTATGTGTGTGTTGGGGGAGAGAGAAAAAAAAACAGGGGAGTGGGGCTAACGGAAAGCTGTTACTGAGAGCTGTCACAGACACGATGGGCTGAACAGCACCCTCTCCTGCCGCTGCCGGCACAGGGCCAGGCACTGACTGCACTCACCGAAGCTGCTCTGGGAGTCGGAGAAAGGGCTGGAGCTGGTGTCTGTCTGCCGGTGTGTGGAGAAGTGCTTGGGCATGACAGTGTAACCCTCCTCGCAGGAAGCCTCCTTTGGATCCAGGGAAACTTTGGCACATTCGATCACAATGTCGTGAGTTTCAAAACGCTTCCACCTGCCCAGAGATAACACAGTTCATACAAGTCGCTCTGCTCTGGGGCAAACCACTCTTATTACTTTACGTGGGGGGTGGGTGGGGGTGAGCAGGAGGGTATAGACTTACTTCACAGGATCCAGCTCATGGTCCTTTGTCCCTGTCACGAGCTCCGGGTGGATACGAACATGCTCCAGCATTGGCTGTAACCAGTGAGAACGCACTTACTATCAGTCAGGATAAACCCAGATCAGTACAGCCACCGCAACCAGCAGAGTTCAGCTTTAATCGGAAATCTGTACAGTAGCTCGAACAACAAAAACGTCTCAAACCACCTTACAGCAAACTAACAGTAAGTTACTATTTTTAGGCAAACACAACAGACAGTTTGCACACAGAAAAGTTCCCAAATAACTGTGCAGGGAATGAACAATTTTATCGGGAGGATTGTTGGCAAGGATGAGAGAAACTCCCTTTTCTTTCCAAATAATGCCATGTGATCTTTAACTTCCACCTGAACAGGGCACACAGGTTCCACCTCACCCAAAGTACGACAACAACTCACACGTATACAGTGCTTTACTTCCAAGTAGCGCAACATTTCAAAGCCCTGCACGGAGACAGTAAGGACATAGCAAGACTGGGGAAAGTGGAGGTTGACTTGAACATGGTCTAAGAGGTTTCTAAGTGGCTTTTGAAGATTGGAGGGGACAAACCAGAGAGGTTGAGGGAGGGAGTTTGAGATGGTGGGAAGACGGTGGCTGAAGGCTCGGCTGCTGATGGGCGAGCAGAAGATGTGCAGAAGGCACAGTTTGTCAAATGGTGGCAATTAGAAGGTGAATGAGGTGAGAGATCACAGGTGAAGGAGGTGCAAGAGTGCAAGGAGATTTGCACTTGAGGGTCGATACAATGGAAGACAGGGTGCTAAGATATGATAGGCATTCAAAGCTCTGTATAGGCGAGGACTAGAGCAAAGAGTTTTGGACGAGCTGATGCTGGGAAGGCTGGAGTGAAGACATTTGGGAAGTCAAGCCTGAGGGTAATGAAGGCTTGGATGAGTTTCAGCAGTGTTGGGATCGTGTGTGTGAGAAGAAAGAGGCCTTCCCACCAAGACACCTAGGTCTCACCTTTACCACCTCCTCAAAGGTCTCCACGTTTTCCTTCATACTGTAGTGTGAGCGGAGGTAGGAGACAAAGTTACATGGGTACATCCCATACAAACGATGGAACAACGCATAGACACTGGCGTGGAGGTGGATCAGGTAAACTTCTGGCACGTGGCCTGTCCGCAAGGGAGAAACAAAATGGTTAAGATGGGTTCAGATCACAAAAACAAGTCAATAACTCGTAGCTCAGGGTAAGGGATAACAACAACAACTTGGATTTATATAGCGCCCTCCACTCTGGAACGCTTCACAGAGAGCCAGCCAGGGGGAGGGGGAGGAAGGTGACCAAAGGGACAGTCGGAAAGAAAGGTCTTCAGCCGAGACCCGAAAATAGGATACAGCTCGAGTGGGAGGAGGCAGGAGAAACAGGGGCAATGGCTCAGTGTTGAGTTTTACACATATTCTCTTGATACGTTTCAGCACTATATCACCACATCAAGCACTCTCAGCTCTGACGCAGTGAAGAATATACTCAACACAGCCTTTTTTGGGTCAGCTGGGGTGTCTGAGACATGCGGAAACCCATCACCGTGCTTAAGAATATCGAAATTAAATTGAGAATTCCATGCATCCCACCTACACATGGAAGATCCCAGAGACAGATTGTTGAAATGGAATGTGCGCACTCTCCCTGGAGGGATGCATCCTGCTTACCTAATTCCAGAGAGTATTAGGCATAGGTTGGCAAGAGCCAAGGCTTGGGGACCCCAGAGTGTGCTGCTGGAGTCTAACCAGCTAAAACTAACACAGCCCCAAAATCAGCCTGACTGATGTTTCCTGCCCACAGATCTAGTCCCCAGAAACTGCTGCTGAGAGATTCTCCCAACACGACACTTAGAACCAGAGGATGCAGCATATGTACAGTGTTTATCAACGTACCCGGGATGTGCAGGTTCCAGGCGGCCAAACGCCCGAAGATCTCAAAGAGCTCGAGGAGGTACTGCTTGCCAACCTGCGGAATCATTGGCAGGAGGATGATTAGCACCAGGACGCCTGTGGTGAGAACAACAACGTCCGTGTCAGTCTGCCGAGGAAAAGGATCAAACAGCCGCAGGTTAGCACAACTCTACCCCAACATGGAAGTCACCGTCTCGGGTGAAGGAACAAACAGCCCAGTGACTGATCGATCGCAGGTGCCGTACTCTGATGCTCCCTACTCAGCCCTTCCAGCATCCCAGTCCTCCAGCTCTCAGTGGCCGGGGAATTGGATTGTCAGCTGGGTGTCTCTCTGTCGCATTCAGCAACACATCACCGTGCTTTAGATCAGGGTGGTCTAAGCTTCTGGCTGCTGAGGGCCGAATGCTGGATTTGAGAAATGATCCGCGGGCCACGTAAGCAATATTTTGGGATTGCATTTCCAGAAACATAACCCATGAGAATATTAGGAGGTGGAAGAAAGAGAAAGGAACGGAAGGCAAGAGAGTGTGCCTGAACAGACAGCTGTCACTGATGTTCACCACCTGCGTCACTCTGAGCTTCAAAGACAAGCGTAAAAGAGAAGTTCCCTTCTGAACTCAACAAGCACTTTCAGATGTCCTCCTGACTTGAAAGGCACCTAATTCTTGTCTGCACGTTTCCCCAATAAATAATGCCAGGAACATGAGGTTTTCAGCAAAAACCCCAGCTTAGAAACCTTAAGGTAACAGTGCGGTTGTTGGGAGATGAATTGGAGGGAAACAGCGACTGGGTACCTTCAAACATTTGAGCAGCGAGACCAGCACCGGTGCTCGGAAAAGCTTGTGTATCCACGTGGGCTCCCGCCTGATGACATGACCCAGCAATGTCAGGGCGGACAGCCTGGTCGCTGCCTTCATCATCCACTCGTTTAGTCGGTCCAACAGATGCTGAAATAGAAGTAAACAGCAAACAAACCCTGAGTACACAGAGGGCAACACTGGTATGTGATGCTCTAGGCTCAGAAAATTACAGCCCACGTTATAAGCGTCTGTGGGAAAACAACCACCGGTCAGGCTTCAGGACTGTCAGCTCACCCTCACATCACTGCTGGTTTCATAGAAACATAGGAACAGGAGTGGGCTCTTCAGCCCCTCGAGCCTGTTCCCCCATTCTATAAGATCATGGCTGATCTGTACCTCAACTCCAATTACCCGCCCTTGCCCCACATCCCTCGATACCCTGACCTAACAAACATCTTTCCAGTCAGTCTTGATAATGTGAACGGATCCAGCATCCACAGGCTATTGAGGGAGAGAGTTCCAGATCCACTACTCTTTGGGTGAAAAACTGTCTCCTGATTTCATTCCTAAAAGGTCCATCTCTAGTATTACAATGTTGTCCCTTTGTTCTGGATTCCTCCACCAGAGGGAATAGTTTTACATACATGCAGTGTGCAGGAAGTCAGCAAAGGAGGCGAACTGTACTGGATTCCAGTGAGGAGCCGTGTAAAGGAGCTGCCCTTACGCTGCGTCTCTCCAACAATACACTTACCCTCCACGACCCAAGCTCTCACCTTATCGTGTGGCTCCTGTACAGCTGAAATGATGTGTGCCGTCAGTTGAGAATTGCTCTCCAGGTAATAATCCACCAAAGAGTTCAGCACCAAAGGGCCACGGTCTGCAGACAGAGATAGATGGTCACCGCACAGTCACACAGCTCGCCACAACTTGTACCCAAAATATACCATAACTTATATAGCACCCTTCAGGCATGGTAGTGTCCATCAACAGCAGCCACAGAGCTAGAAGCGCTCAGTCAGCTGATCTCAGACACATCAGCAGGTGCAAACAGAGTACGGAGGGGATAGAAATCAGGCTGGGTTCCCACTCCAGAGACCCTGCCAGGAAATTCACATGACAAAGTGGGGTGAGGACTGGTTGTGGATAGGTGACAGAGAGCAGGAACTCAGGGAGTTTCTCTGACTGGAGTAGTAGTTGGTGTTGTGCGTCTTGTTCTCTAGGTATTGTAGATCAGCGATCTGATGTAGGAGTTGAGGGAATAATATCTAAATCTACGAATGATAGTAAACCTGGAGATGTTAAGGGCAGGAAAGCTACAGACAGATACTAACAGGTGAGGGGAGTGGGCAGATTTGTGGAAAATAGTGTTGAATAAGAACATGGAAAGTGGGGGAATTTTGGGAGAAAGAAAGTGGAATTGTAATCTGGGTGGAACAGAGGGCCACAAAAGAACAGAGGATTGCTGGTAGAGAGGCCGTTTTATACTACTACCTCTTTTGTGCTACTTCTTAAAGTAACCACCGACACACAAATAATGGGCCGAGGTCTCCTACAGTATTGTACATTTCTGCGGAGGAAGCCAAACCCAGGGCCAAAGTTATACATCTCCAAACAGCTGTGACTGAGGAGCTCCTTGCCTGGGGAGCTACAGACACAAGCAGGAGGAGGGCAAAGTATAGGGTGACCAAAAAGTCCTGCAACTCTCTATATTCCCAGCCCTGCTCCCCCCCACCCACCCACATGCTTGGGAGTCTCAACGTGAGCTGAACATTACTGTATTGAACTCAGAGCAGTCAAACTCCCAGCTGTTTAATAGACACAAACCTGAGCGGAGACTCTCCACCAGTAGCCCCTTCACCTCCTCGTTCACCTGCAGGTCAGTGGACTCGAGCAGAGGGACCAGGTCGCTGACGTTCACCACCTGCGTCATTCTGCACTCGCTTCTCTCCTCCCTGCCTTCTCACACCTGAAGAGAAGCTTCCGATCCCCCGCTGATCCGATCGCAGCTACCGACCGGGGGAGCTTGGAACACAGAGCCAGAGTCAGGTAGACCCACTCCCAGCCTCCTCACGCAGGTCCCCCCTCCACCCCCACTGAGCATCAATCCCTCAAAGCCATTTACAGCGCTGGAGCAAAGAGCTTGATCTTGTTAACCAAAGACATCAAAAGGGATTAGTTTTGAAGGCAGTGAGAGAATGAGCAAGGCAGAGGATATTGGGGAGAGTTCCAGAGAGTGGGAGCATTTCCCTCTTTCTCCCCCACCCTCAGAGCTACCCTTCATCCCCACCTCCACCCTGGGAAGCCCCGGGGTTATGGAGCAGCCGAGGTTCAGTCGCAGTTTGAGGGGGAGGAATGTTCTCGACTGAACTCGAGCACGAGCTGAACACTTGGCCTCTTGCCTAAGGGAGGTTAGTCAAGAGTTCTAATCGGTTAAACTCCACATGGCTCCCAGCGTCTGGGTGAAGGTCAAGACCAATGACAAAAGCTGAGCATTCAATGACCTAATCGTACCTGCGCCTGTGACCAATGTCAGTGGAGATTTGCATTATGTTGTGGTCAGCCACATGTCTGACACACACAGACACCTGTGCTTAAGACGCTCCAAACCACAATTTCACATATTTATAATCCTTGATTAGACTTAGCAACTTTCACACCAGGAGAACATCTCAGATCACCTCCCAGGATGATAATAATAATCCTTGCATTTGATATAGCGCCTTATCACATCTTTGAGACGTCTCAAAGCGCTTCACAGAATATCCTGTAAAGTGAATTGACTGCGTATTTTGTGGACGATTTACTATAAAGTGAAGTGATTACTTTTGTAGGGGAAAACGGCAGCCTATTTGTGCACCACAATGTTCCACAAACAGTCATGAAATGAATGACCAATTTATCGGGGGGGGGGGGGGAACCATTGGCCAGGTCACCAGGAGAAAATCCCTTCTCCTTTTTCACTAGTGCTATAATCTTTGAAGTCCACTTGCAAGCAGGTGGGACATTGATTTAGCATCTCATCAGAGTTCAATCAACTGAGTCAGACTGACACCTATGCATGGAAATTTCCTTGCGTCTGGAATGGAATTTGCACTTTTTCCCCTGCCTACCTAACTCCAGAGAGCATTAGGTGCAGGTTGGCGAGAGCCAAGGCTTAGGAACCTCAAAGCACTGTGGTAAAGACTGGAGTTTAACCAGATAAAACAGCATAGCTTGCCAATACAAGATGTCTGACAAGCTTCCTGATGCTATTTGCTGGAACCACCCTACCCGTCAAGACCTTGGCCTGCAGGGTTAACAGGAGCTGTGCGGGAAGAACCTTCAGTCTGCTGCTCCAAGTTCTGTCAATGAGCCAGACTGGATGGACTGTCATCAGCGGTGCCTCGGGAATCCACCCATCTGGTTCAGGTACCAGACAACCCTGACCACCACAGACTGACTTGCTTCTGATATTGTTTCCAGCCAGTCACCTTGTAGCTAGCTCAGCCCCAGAGACCCTGCTTACCCCTCTCCCTCCCAAAGGAGGAGAGTCACTAGCTGGTCATCTGTCATTCAGTGAGTACCGATTTGAGCCTTTGCTGGGTGGTGAGCAGGACCAGGAATGCCTTGCAAGCCTCTTGTTGAGGAACACAACTCAAAATGAAATGCATGAGATCACGTCTGCGCACACAGCCCACCGAACAACAACAATTTGCATTTATATGGCGTCCTTTATGGGTGGTAGGATCCTGGAGCACTGTCCAGCTATCTCACCAGTAAACTTAAAAACAATCGCTGGTGCCTCCTGTACTGCTTGCCAGATATCTCGCAGTGAAATCCTGGGTTGGTGAAACTCAGTCACAGTCAGGCTATGTTTACTGGCTGTGATCCAGTAAAGTCAGACAAACAGAAACTTTCATTTGTCTCAATCAACACTAGAATCATATTTTAGCACCAAGACACTGAGGGGGAAACAGCATGTACAAATGCAACACATTCCGTCTGCTTGCTTTGTATTGCGTCAGTTCATTACAGCACTTCAGACTGCTCTGAGCACTGCACTTTAATAATAATAATCCTTGCATTTGATAAAGTACTTTTCACACCTTCTCGACGTGTCAAAGCGCTTCACAGAACACACTGTAAAGTGAATTGACTGTATATTTGTGGGCGAACGCGGCAGCCAATTGCGCACAGCAATGCCCCACAAACAGTCGTGGATTGAAAATGACCAATTTATTATTGTTTTGTTTTTGGAGGGATTATTATTACAGTTTACAGTTACATGGAAACATCTCCAAACACTCCACAGAATGAGATTAATTGGAAATAAAGTGGATGATATATAGGCAAATGTAACAGAAATGTCCTGCAGCCAACTCTTTAGAATTTGAGGTGAGTTTGGTTGAAGATGGAATATAAGGTGGAATAAACAGAAAAGAAGTTCTACATTTAGTTTGAAATTGTGGTGAGACAGGGATGGGGGAGGTGGGGAGAGAGAAAAGGGACTCCCTTTCTTACCTGACGCAGACAGGACTTAAATTATTCAAATCCAAAAAGGGATTAAAAATCAACTTTTAAAATCTTTGCTCCTGTAATGTTGGAGCTAGCCTGCTCTCTCCAAGTTTAAGGTACGGGTTTACTTTGCTGGGTAATATTTCCAGTTGGACTGGACAAGCATCAAGATTGACTCCCCTGAAATCCCAGCCAAAAGAAACACAAGAGAAACGCATCTTTTATCCTCCCAGTAAAACATTAACTGCCAGATAAATCACCCCAGAGCAGTCACACCCCTGCTCACTGCTTCTGTCCTCTGGGTGGTACAGCCACCAAACCATACACAAAAGGTCTTCCTTTCACACATTAAACGATCCACAGGAGATAAAATGCATGTGTATGTAAACAGTGCCTTGGCTTCTGCAAACAGCACGTGCCTGCAACCTGAAACCATGGTCTTCAGCCCCATGATTACTTTGAGAACGTCTGTGAGGTTGCTGAGCTCTCACACGCTCTGAGGGATTCACTTGACTCCTGTTGTTTTTGTGGGAATCACAGACCATTCAAGCTAAACAATGGAATCAGAATTCATCAGCACGTCTAGTCTGACGACCACATGAACCTCCTACACCCATTTCAACTCGCATTTTGTTAGTACAGGACCAAGATCCAATGCCAGGTCTCATCTGCCTAATTCATGGGGCCATTAAACTACGAGACTAGAAGAAAAGGCACAGGAGTTCTGCCCTAGCCAACAATGCTTCAGATAAATAAGTCACTCACTTTATCACTGTACAAATGACTGGTAATAAATACATTGATTACATTTAACAACAGCCTGTGAATCTTCCCTGCAGGGTGAAACCTTGGGCAAGTTTCCTTACTCCACACGCCTGATAATAATCCCTCAAAAAAATAATAAATTGGTCATTTCAATCCACGACTGTTTGTGGGACACTGCCTTGCGCAATTGACTGCTGCACTTCACCCACAAATATACAGTCAATTCACTTTACAGTCTATTCTGTGAAGCGCTTTGAGGTGTCGAGAAGACTTGAAAAGCGCTATATCAAATGCAAGAATTATTATTATTATTTAAAACACATTGAAATTTTAGACAATGTGTCAATGCAACAATTATATTAAACGGTCGGTAATGTACAAACCTAGGAGAGATTAGTGAAGCTACCCAGGTTAGAAGGGGTTCACTTTGAATGCATTTAAAGTTACACTCAGCCTGAAATCACAAACATTCTCCATATAGTAGGAACCTGCCCATGGCACTATATAAATGCAAATAGTTTTGTGTCGGATTGACATCGATGCCTGAGTCAATGCAGGACTCACCAGGAAAGGAATACAAATCAAAGCAGAGATTTGAACTTGTGACCGCTGGCCTTTGGATATCAGTGGATATAATCACTATTCACTGCACCCGCGCTTTAACACTGCCCCACTAATTGCTTCACAAAGCAGCTTTCATTCAAGATGGTGAAGAATTATTAGCCTCGACTGATTAGATTCCACACTGACAACTTGGGGACAGGAGACTTCCTTACTACTGTACGTGAAAAATACAAGTATTGCAGCAGAAATCATCTCAATCAGCCGGCTGAATATTTCCCCTGATTTACGTGCGCTGTGTGTCAGTCAGTCTGCACTGTAATTGGCACTTCCATTAGACATTGGAAATGGACCCAATGTTCCCACAATCATGTACAGTAGGCTCCCACACACTGGCCAAGTCTGCCACTAGGGATCATTCCAAATTTCTCCATAAAGCAACTGACGATATCTTTTAGGTCCAGTTCATTATTACACCAACAGTCTACACTCCACAAGAACAGTTCAGATGCAGAAAGCTTTTGGCCCATTTGATCTCCTTCTTCCAGAACACCCAAACTACCATCTTCCCGTCACACCATCAAGCTGTTTAAATGAGTCTCAACCACCTTGCTCCAGTTGTTAATTAATTTCTGTCCTAATATTGCCTATTGCAGCCTGTAACCTGTGTCCTCTAGTTCTGCTGTCTCACTGCATCTGACAGTAATGTTCTGGGTTAACTTTCTCAATCCCACTTATAATCTTGTGTACCTCTAAAGGTCCTCTCTGAAACTTCAATTTTCAAGATTGAGGAGCCCCGGCTTGTCTAGCTCATTCCCTTAACACTGGAGATTAATCCTTTGCCCTCTTCTAACCCCACAATGAAGACCTGGGCAGCCCCATTACGTGGTGTCAACCAGCACTGTGTGGGATACTCCAGTGCAGCCTGCACAGAGCACAGTACAGCTCAAGTATAATGTCTGAACTCAATTGATTTGGAAAAATAGCCCAGCATCCTGTCACAGCAGGTTTTCGGTGGTGGTTTTCCTCCACTTGAACTTCTCTCTTGCTCACTCCCTTTAATCTGAGATCTTTTAATCTCTCTTCAAGTGCCATACCATCTCATTGACATTTAAAAAGAATTGATGAATTTGTCACTTAATGCTAAAAGGTGGTTCAGAATCATCAAACGGCATAAAACAGAAAGTGATTCTATTCCATTTGAAACAATACCATAACATAACTCGCAAGCATCAAAGAGAATTGCTGTGAAGTGTAGTGATTGGGCATTTATAGGCAAACACAACAGCCAAACTACACAGCAAAGTCCCACAATCAGTTAGCTATGAAGCAAATAACCACTTTATCGAGAGATTCACTGGCCAGGGCAACAGAAGAACATCCTCTGCTCTTGCAATTGTGTCACTAGATCTTTACAGGCAACAACAACAAAATTACATTTATAGAACGCCTTTCACGTCGGAAGGACGTCCTAAGGCGCTGGAAAGTCAGGGATCAGGACCCAAGCATGGGGGAGGAGTGGAAAAGGGGTGAGGGAAGGCAGAGAGGACAACCGAAGGCATGATCGAAGAGGAGGGTCTTGAGACCGGTCTTGAAGGAAGCAAGGGAGGAAGCGAGGCGAAGGGACTGTGGGATAGAGTTCCAGAATGTGGGGGCAGAGAGGCTGAAAGCCCGGCCACCGATGGGAGGGTCGAGCGGGAGACGTGGAGCAGGCCGGAGCCTGATGAGCGGGCAGGTTGGTAGGGAGTCAGCAGGTCAGAGAGGCAGGAGGGGGTAAGGCTATGGATGGCCTTGAAAGGCAGATAGGATCTTGGTTTAGATGCGCTACCATATGAACCACACAAACGTTTTCCAAAACAGTGACCAATGCAGCTCACTCTGGTACGTTTGAGCTTTGGACAACTTTAACCCCATCTGGGGCCTTGGCTGGTGGGGCTGAAGAGATGTTAACACATCGAAATCCCACTGAACAGCCAAATCGCTGGAGAAGGGCTGATCCCAGAAATATTCTTGGCTCTCAGTTGGCTCTGAGGCCTCCAGGAAAATGCAACCTCCGCCCCACACAGAGAAAAACAACAGTGAATCCTGAATGAGGATTAAACAAAGGGCAGTTATTCCTCCAGGCGAACGATGATCAAGGAGCTCCCAGTGACAAGAGGCAAACCCCCCCTCCCACACAAGCCCCCCCCCCATCCCACACAAGCCCCCCCCCCATCCCACACAAGCCCCCCCCCCCCACCCCCCCCCCCCCCCATCCCACACAAGCCCCCCCCCATCCCACACAAGCCCCCCCCCATCCCACACAAGCCCCCCCCCATCCCACACAAGCCCCCCCATCCCACACAAGCCCCCCCCATCCCACACAAGCCCCCCCCATCCCACACAAGCCCCCCCCATCCCACACAAGCCCCCCCCCCATCCCACACAAGCCCCCCCCCATCCCACACAAGCCCCCCCCCATCCCACACAAGCCCCCCCCATCCAACACAAGCCCCCCCCCCATCCAACACAAGCCCCCCCTCAGTCGCTCCTTCTCCGGGAACAGCTAAACCGCTCTCGACAGCCAAACCGGAGCCAAAACCAACGATTTGTATTGATTCTCACATCCTCTCACATCGGGAGAAACCCCCACACACAACCCCCCCACCACACAACCCCCCCCCCACACCCCCACACAACCCCCCCCCACACCCCCACACAACCCCCCCCCCACACACACACACCCCCCACACCACCCCCCACACAACCCCCCCACACACCCCCACCAACACACACCACCCACACACACAAACCCCCCACACACACACACACACAAGAAAATAACAATTCAATCCGGATTCAGACGCACTAAAAGGGGTCAAAGTGCGCCGCTCGGTGTCGGTGTCGGTGAGGCTGACGGCGGTCTCGGAACCGGTTGAATTTCATTCATTCCGGTGCGGGTGCGCGCGCCCCTTCCCCCACACCGGGCGGCTCGGTCCGGAGCCCCCGGGATGGCCTGAGGGGCGCCGCCGCCGCCAGCCTTGCGCAGGGCCTCGGGGGGGGGTCTCGGTAGACCCCGGTGGTGGGGTGGGGCGGGGGGGGGGGAGAGTGAGGAGGAGGAGGGGGGGGCGAGGGAAGCACTGCTCGCCGGCGGGCAGCGTCAGGCGGGCTCGGTGCCGGTTGCCCCCCCCCCGGGGGACGCGCGGCGGCCGCTGGCGCTCACCTCCCGCAGCTCCTACATTCCACAGGGCGCCGCCATCTTGGCCGCAGCACTCCCCACGGGCCGCCTCCGCCAGAGCCTGAAAAACACAACAAAATAAACCCCGGACTATTTCCTCGTTCCCTTCCCTCTCGCACCGAATTATCACCCCTCCCCCCCCCCCCCGAAGACTTTGCACCAACTCCCGATTGCGTAACGGCTCTCTCGCTGCATTGAAGCCTCGGGGGGGAGGAGTTTTTAAAGAATTTAAATGCCTTTTTTTTTGTGTGGGGGGGGGGGGGGAGTGTTTAAACAGCTGAGCGGAGGGATACACGGACTCCGGGTGCCGCGCGGCGGTTGCGCGTGACTGCAGGTGCCCGCGGCGCGCCTGCGCCCAAGCGCCCGAAGGACCCGCCGCTGCTCGCATGACGTCATTGCACCCTTTGGTAAACAGCCAACTGTCAATCCCCTTCAAATCAATGTCACCAACGCCTTCCGGGGGAGGGGGGGGTGGGAGGGGAAGGGGGTGGGAGGGGGAGGGGATAAAGTGCACGTTGTTGTTGTTGTTGTTGTTGTTTGCTGCCGCCGAGGATCGAGGCAGAGCCGACGTCGCGGGCGGCCGTCCTCGCGCCCGACGTGGCTCCTTCGTCCACGCGACGCACAGTCACTACGCTCGGCGGCGTGCGGCGGCGGCGTATCCCGCGAAGCGCTTCTCGGGACGTCTCGAAGACGGGATCGGGCGCTGTTTATCGAACGCGACGATTGGCGTTGATGTCGTCGTCATCGACGGCGCCGCCGCCTCGTCCGGGACGTCGGCTCTCACGGCGCTTCAAGGGATACGCCGTGAAGCGCACTGACTGTACTCTGCCGGCGAAACGCGGCGGCTCCCCAACTGCGTCCCACAAACAGTCGTGGATTGAGCGACCGCATTTTTTTTTTTTGGACCTCCCGTAAACAGCAACGTGATGAGCTAATTGTCCATTCGTGTGAAATTTACCGCTAGATTTGGGTCGAAGAGGGGGGATACGAACCTGGAAAAAGCAGGAAGAGTGACTCGATCTCACTGAAAAAGCAACACCAGGACAGTCCCTTTCCACCGGCCGAAATCATAAGGCAGACCGCACCGAGATGAAAAGTGCTTGTATAGTTCTGCAACTACTGCCAGTGAACTGGCAACAACAATAATAAGAATTTGCATCTTTCGCATCAGGAGAATTTCTTAAAATACTTTACAAAGACTGAGTGGGGGAGCCTGAGCTGGGAGGGATTACATTGAATACGTGGCTGGAGGTGAAATCAAAGATAGATCCTTAGATGGGTTTAGATTTGGGGGCGAGGAGAAGAGAATGTCTGAAGAGACGGAAGGTCAAATGGCTGATGGCTCACTCCGCCAAAAGTGGGGCCGAGGAAATGAAGCTGGCTGGAGTTAGCACCATGGAGGCAATGGCTGGCAAGCAGGGTCACAGGAAATGGCAGAGGTGAAGTGGGGAGCCACCATGGAACGGGTGAAGGTGAGACGAAGATCTCAAAGCTGTTGCTCTGGGCGATAGGGAGCCGGTGGGAGCTGAGCGAGGATGGGGCGGGTAGAGGATGAGGCCATGTTCTGGATGATCTGGAGCTTGTGGAGGGTGGAGAGGGGAAGCCAGAGAGCAGAGCAGTAGCAGCAGCAATCAGCTTTCAAGATCAGCAAGAAATAAACTGCACATCGATTCCCTTTTTATTTTATAATAAGAACCTTACACAGTGCCTTTCGTGTAAAAAATAAACATCTCAAAACACTTTGCAAATCAAATTGGATTGTACAGCCAAAAGATGTACCTCCTTGTGCGTGGTTTTGGTCATCTTTTCCCTCTCCTTTTGGCTCCCACTCCCAGCTCAGGTACCCAGTGAGCTCTTTGAGACATTCTCCCAACATGAAAAGAGCTTTATAAATGTGAATTCAAGATCCTCATCCTCACTTACAAGGCCATTCACGGCCTTGCTCCCTCCTACCTCTCCGACCTACTATCCCCCGACTTACCTGCCCGTACCCTCCGTTCCTCTGGCTCCGGTCTACTCCACATCCCCCGCCCCAACCGCCCTATCATCGGTGGCCGGGCCTTCAGCCTCTCAGCCCCGAGGCTCTGGAACTCCATCCCCCAGTGCCTTCGCCGCCTCCTCCCTTTCCTCCTTCAAGGCCGGTCTCAAGACCTTGCTCTTCGACCGAGCCTTCAGCTCCACTCTCGACTCTCTACCCCCTCCTCGCTCCCTCCCTTCTCTCCCCTCACCCTGACCATTTCCCCCCCAAGGCTTCGGTCCTGACCCAACTGTCCAGCGCCTTGGGACGTCCTCCCGACGTGAAAGGCGCTCTATAAATGGAATCTTGTTGTTGTTGTATGAAATGCATTGACCCAGAGATCAGCGATGTGCTCTGTGCTTGTGAGCCACCAGGTGACGCTGTGATCACTATAATGACAAGGCAGCTGTTGGCTTTGTTGGTGAATTCAGAAAAAGTTGGAATTATATTTTACGTTTCATCAATTCAATCCGTTTCCATCAGTTCACCAAACTCAGCGCCGCTATCACCCCGGTCTTGCCAGGCTCCACTGGTTCCTTGGCACGGAATAAATCGACTCACCTGCAAATCACTTCAAAACCCTGTTACCTCCCTACCTCACCGACCTGCTCGCACCCACTCCTCTGCCCTTCCCTCATCCCCTCCTTTCAGCCACTATGTCCGCCTCTGGAACTCCCTGCCTCAATCCCTCCGTTTTGCCCATCCTCAGATCATACCTGAAGACCCTATTCCTGGACTGTCCTTACAGTCACATCCGCCCTCACCCTGGCTCAGCGTCAATCAGTCTCTCCTGTTTTCTTGTCTCTCTTGGTATCTCTCTCTCACACACAGACACACTCTGCACCCTGTTCTCATTCCTAGCTCTGTCTCTGTTCTTTTCCGCTTTATTTTTTGATTATATCTCTCATGCAAGAATACTTTCCCTCCCTTCAAATCCCACCTAAAGACTTTCCTTTTTTGTTCGTGCTAACGGTCACCTTCCCTCCCCTTCCCTCTCCCCCGGCTCGGTGTCAGACTCCGCCACTGTGAAGCGCTCCAGGACGCTACCCCATGTAAATGCAAGTTGTTGTTGCTGCAAGTATACACGGATGTGTTCTCGTGGTCCTCACCATCCTTTCTTCTCAAACTCTCTCCTTCCAGTCTCTTTCTCTCTCTCCATTTTCTATATCTTTCTCCCTCTCTATTCTTACTCTTTATCCAGGCTCTTTCTCTCTCTTCCCACTCTCTCTCCCGCGCCTCTCTGTCTGCTTGTTTCCTAAGCTGATTTGCATTGGAAGTAACTTCAAATGTTCTCCTGATTTGTTTACAACTGTTCTGGAAACGGTTGGCAAAACACTGAGTATGGAAATGATGAAGCGTCACTGACTAAATCTCACAGCTAAAATCTCTGTCCATAATAACTTGCTCACATTAGAGATCACCCGGGAAGGTCCCCATTAAAGACACTAGTGTGCTATACCGCAACCCTAACCCCAGCCCTATCTGTGTGTGAGTGTTTGTATGAATGTGTGAGAGAATCTGTGTGTGTGTGAGTGAGTCTGGCTGTGTATTTGTATGTTTGAGAGTGTGTGCGAGGGTGTGTTTGATGGTGACAGTGAGTGTGAGAATGTGTGTTTCATTAATAGTTATTGCTCCTTTAGTTCTCAGATTACCGAGCATTTCACATCACTCAGTGGGTTGGTAATGACACACAGGTCAGCGTATTTCAGATACAACAACAAGATTACATTTATATAGCGCCTTTCACGTCGGGAGGACGTCCCAGGACTACCATGTGCAGTGGTTTCCATGTGCAGTGTACATACCCTCTCTCTCACTCACTCAACTCCCTCCTCTTCCCCCATCCCTCCCTCCCTCCCTCCCTCCCTCCTCTACACGCAGTTACTCTGTGGTTCCCTCTCCTCCCTGCCCCCTGTCTCTTTCTCTCTCCCTGTGTTTGTGTGAAGCTGGGCAGTTTGCACTCTCAGTCCCTTTCTGCCCGCTTCAGATAAGAGTTCCGCTCCTGTATCTGTGAAAGGCAGCCCAAGTTTAAACAAGGTGGAATTTAAAAAGTACATGATATCTTCCACAAAAAAAAATGCAACAGAAAAAAAAAGTCGTTTGGACAAAAATAACTCCCATCGTCAGAGGCACAGAGAAGAGCTGCACATCACTGACAGTAACACACCAAAGCTGTCAACCAAAGCTAAACCGAGCTTCAGCCTGGTGGAGCGGGTCTGTGTCAAGGTTCGGAAAGAACTGCCAACACTGAGCAATGGACAGACAGACAGACAGACAGATAGTCACACACAGCCTTAAACATCCCAATCCTCTAAACCGTGTTAAGTTTTCCAAAAATTTCCCCAAACTAGCTTCCGCGGCTTTGTACTTTTTACTCCTAATATGAGTGATTCTTGACCAGATCTGGGGGGCAGGAGGAGGGGGTGAGGGGGGAATCTGGGTTTTGCGTCTCTGACTGTCTGTCTTTGTCTGTCTGTCTGTCAGGTTGTTCCTCATGTCCCTACCTATATGTCTGAATCTTTCTGTCTCTGTCTCTTTCTTTCTTGCTCTCTCTCCTCTATCAGTCTGTCTCTCTCTTTCTATCCCTGTGTTTTTTCCTCCCATCCTTGTCTCTTTATGTCTGTCTTGTCAGTCTGTCTGTCTGTCTCTCTCTCTCTCTGTGTGTCTCTCACTGTTTCTGTCTATCTCTCTCTGTCACTCTCTTTCTATAGCTCTCTCCTTCTGTCTCTGTGTCTCTCTCTCTCTTGCTGTATCTCTCTATTTCTTTCTTTCCTTCTTTATTTCTGTCTCTCTCTCTCTGTGTGTGTGTGTGGATTTCAACCTCTGTGTCTATAGGCAAATTCTCCTGTACTTCTTAATTTCCCTATTGGTTGACGTCTGTCTCTCCCCCTAGAAAACAGATTTGCAGGACCCAAAAAAAAAATTATCAGATTGAAAAATCAGGGCGGGTTAAAAAACAAGGGGTGAGTGAGTGTGTGAGTGAGTGAGTGAAAGAGACAGAGAGAGTGAAAGGGAACTTGACGGATTGCAAGACACTGCCACAGAGAGAGAGAGAGAGAGAGAGATACAGGTGTCCCACAAGGTCGATGTGAGGAATTTGGAGACAGGTACAGAAAGTCTAAACTCTCTCTTGTGTGTGTGTGTCTGTGTCTGTGTGTGTGTGTGACTGTCAATCAGCTGTGTGTGTGTGTGTGTGTGTGTGTTGGTAGTAATATTTATTACCTGTCATTTCCACCACGAGGTGTTAGATTGGGTCCCATTGAGAAACCCTCTAATAAACTACTTGTTCCCCATTCAGTTTGACCCAATGCACATCCCTACGAGACGAGCCAACAGCCCAGAGTTGCCCCTAAACACACGAGCTGTGGATACATGTAATGCACAGATGTGTAGACATGTTGCAAAAGAAAAAGCTGAACTGGATTTTCACTCTCGATTAAAGAATAATCCTAAATAAAACAAGTTGCTACAAGTTGCAATCGGTTTGCATCCACCAACCTCCCCTCTCCCCTCCTCTCCCTTCCCCTCCTCTCCCCCCAAAAAATTGCCCCACCAAATAAAGTTTGCCCTTATGTGCAAACTCATTCAGGAGGAGAAGAAGAAGAAAAAAACCGACGGCGTTTAAATAGTGATTTGTACTTATTGCAAATACTGATTTGAAACTTCTCCGACGAAGTAAGAAAAAAAAACGAACAATTAAAATCATTTGAATGTGAAATGAACGTGAGATGGAGAGCCAAGTGACTGGTAATTATTGTAGCAACAGCCACATCGTTACAATTAAACCCTTTAAAGTCCCTATTTTTTCCCCCCCCCAATAGATTCAAATTTGATATAAAATGTGGCTTTTCTATTTTCTCTGTTCGTTTGGGGCTTAAATGTACATTGATTGACCTGCGGTTTGGAGATGGTTTTGCAAACAGCACAGAACAAGTGCCTTTTTAAGTCATTAAACGTTTTGAAGTTGATTTAACGCTGAATCCCGACACGTGTGGATCAAAGTCTTAAATCATCCTCAGGGGATAAATATTATGGGTCAGGGTCTGCCTGTAACAGTGACCCCTTCCTTTCCCCGGAATCCCATTCTCTGACTGGGAGAACAATAATAATAATAATAATAATTTGGTCACTTAACCCACGACTGTTTGCGGGACGCCGCTGTGCACAATTGGCCGCCGCCTTTCACCCACAGAATACACACAGTCAATTCACTTCACAGTATGTTCTGTGAAGCGCTTTGAGACGTTTCGAAGACGTGATAAGGCGCTGTATCAGATGCAAGGATTATTATTTATTCTAAACACAATACTGTCATAAACAGTCAATTCAGAAGAAGAAAAACAACTTTACTGGGTTTCCAATTACACCCAGACCCAGTTTTTGAGAACTTTTTTTTCCCCTTATAATGTACGATTGGGCAGATATGTGGACAATCGTTAAATCCAGTCTCTGTTCAGAAACTGGTTCTCCGCAGTTAATCTAAATCGGTTTCCAGATTAACACTGGAGTTCAGAGGTTTCCGCCAAACTGGGGACCTTAACTATCCTGGTCTATTTATTGCTTTGAACCTGAATTAAAACTTTTTTTTAAATGTCTGGTGGACTTTTTTTGATCTGGGGGAGGGAGTAAAATTATCTGCCCCTCAAAGTTAACATCATAATTTTTGGGGGTCAGCTGGGTGTCCAACACATGCAGAAACCCATCGCCGTGCTTAAGAGTATTCAAACCAAGCTGAGATTTCCATGTACCCACCTACACATGGAAATCCCAGAGACAGATTCTTGGAATAGGATGCGCTCTCTCTCCCTGGAGGGACACAACCTGTTTATCTAATTCCGAAAAGTATTAGGCGCAGGTTGGCAAGAGCCAAGGCTTAGGGACCCCAGAGTGTGTGTTGGGGTAACTGCTGGAGTATAACCAGCTAAAACCACATAGTTTGCCATTGATATTGCTTTCCCGCTGCTTGTCCAGCTAGGACCACCCTACCCTTCAGGGCTTTGGCTTGTAGGTTAACAGGAGTTGAGTGGTATGACTCTCTGTCCCCAGTGACTGTTCTGCCTTTCCAGGTCCTGCTGATGAGCCAGGCTTGGGCTGTGCTGTCATCAGCAGTGCCCTGGAATACTGTGGACCCACCTGGCTTAGGACTACCGAGACCACCACAAAGGGCTGGCTCGATTCCGCCATTCCATTGCTCGGCCTGTCACCTTGGAGCCCGTTCATCCCTGGGGAGACCCCTCCTAACATCATAACCAGCATTAAGTAACAGTGACACATTTTGCCATCGGTTGGGGCTGAGCATTCTCAAAGGGTCGCTTTGTGGGTGTGACAGTGCCCCTTTAATTTGAGGGTGAATGGAGGGAACGATAACTAATCTTACTTTAAACACGTGAGCAGAGTTGGAAACAGAGAGGAGAGATTTAGGAGCAGTGGCGAGAGCTTGCAGCATGTAGTAGAATGAAGACCAAGGGAGGCGAGGAGTCCGTAGAGTGTCGGAGGAAGGGAAAAGTGAGGGAGGTAAAGAGAAGTGGTGTCCTGGCGAGCAATCTCCCCAGTTAAGGGATCAGTCACTTCTAAATGTGGGACGTCGAGGTGTGAAAATTGGCTGCCAAACGTTTTACCCCAAGGTACACAGTCACTACACTTTGCAGTAGTTGTTGTAAAGCGCTTAACCTGAGAGTTAACGCGAAAGGGCATTGTATCAGATTCATTTAAATTTCACATGATTCGCCAAATCAAATGGTCACATTGTAAATAAAGACTCCACAATCTGTACCTGACTGAGGAGTGTTCTCTCTCTCTCTCTCTCTCCAGGGTGAGTGACTGGGGAGTGTTCTCTCTCTCTCTCTCTCTCTCGGGGTGAGTGACTGGGGAGTGTTCTCTCTCTCTCTCCCCCCCCACAGGGTGTTGACGATGCCCCGAGCGTTCCTGGTGAAGACGAAGAAAGCTTACACTTACCACCAGCATCGCTGTCTCCACGACGACCGTCTTCCTCACCCGCTCCCTGCAGCCTCCTCGCCACTGGCAGGTGCGTCTCAGAGCCACAGTCACTACACTTTACAGTGCATTCTGCGAAGAGCTTTGAGACGTCTCAAAGACGTGGTGAGGCTCTGCATCAAATGCAAGGATTATTATTATTATAATAGAGGCTGTTCCTGGTGTGATCGCCCCCCCCCCACACACACACCCAAATCCCACCACACATTTCTTCTCCAAACACTGTACCGTCTGACATCCTTTCAACAGCTGTCTGTTGAGGATTGTGCTTCAAACCCTGGTTTGGGGTCAGTGTAGACTTTGAGCTGGAGATGAGTGCGACACAGGTGGACCGACTCCTGGGGAGAGGGTGACTGACAGACTGACCGACAGACGTGACTGTCAGGATTTCAGCTCAACGTAACCTTGTCAATTAACAAGCCTGAGAACAGGAGACAGAGCAAATGCTCATCCGAGGAACGGCCACCGGTTGCTGGGAAGCGGAGGGTCTGCAGCCGAGGAGAAGACCGGTCTGAAAACAGGTTAATGGCACGTGGTAGGAGATGAAGGCCGCACAGTCCTGTTCACAATTGCTTTCCGGTCAGACAGGCGGGGAGGGGGAGTGAGCGAGAACAGGACAGGGATTTGGTGGGAGAAATTCCCAGGGTCTTTAACCACCTGAACAGGTTCTCTCTCAAAAACCTTGTTTAACGTCCCATTCCAACGACGGGAGTAAAGCTCCCTCTACGCTGTCCGTCCAGGTCAGAGGGGAGGTGAAGCACCTCAGGAAGATGCTAAGGGGAGGATTTGGGGAGAGAACAGGTTAGGGATTTGGGAGGGAGTTACTGAGGTTTGATGAAATAAAAAGCAAAAGCAAAGTAAAAGTGCAGATTTCTCCCCGCTCTGAGGATGCTGTGGATATTTTTCACGCTATATTAATGGCAAGAATGTGGAGCAGTTAAACCAACCTTTTTATTCAAATCAGCCTCGCTCTGCAGGTCGTTGCAAAGTCAAACCCAGATCGTCTACGCTGCTGCTCTTAACACGCGGCTGGGTGTGTGCACGCACTCTCACAGAGCAGCCAGATTCCACCTCCCAAACCTGGATTCCATCTCTCTGTTCAGGTGGACCTTAATAAATCTCATGACACTTGTTAGTACACACTGTTCGAAAAGAGAAGGGAGTTTTTCTCTCTCTCTCTCTCTCTCTCTCAGTGTCCTGGGCGACAACCCTCCCAAATAAAAATTGGTCATTAACTCCGAGGCTGTTCGTGGAGCGTTCCTGTTGTGTTTGCCCAAAAAGTACACAGCCACACCATTCTACAGTACGTTGTTTAAAGTGCTTTCAAACACAGATTAGATAGTTTTCTTTTTAGGAAATAACATTATGGGATATAGTACATAGGTAGTTCGGGACATATGTGTGTATGGCCACCAGGAAGGTGGCAGGCGAACTAGATGGACCTTGGTCTTTGTTTCGTCTAATGTTTCTTATGTTCTTATGCTTTAAGATGTTGTGATAAGGTGCTGTATCAAATGTAAGGATTATTATATTATTATTATTGTTACCTGTGCCTGTTCAGGTGGATGTTAAAGATCTCATGGCCCTAATGTCTCCATCCTCCCACTCACCAACGCTGTGCAGACCCCACTTACCCGCTATGCCCCCCCTACCCACCGCCCCAGACTTGTGCAGTGAGCGTGGCTGACCCTGAAACTCTCCACTGACCTGTGCTCGTCGCTCTCCGCAGTTTCGCCACCAGAGTATCCAGAGGACAGCAACGCGCCCGACAGCGATGCCAGGGGTACCAGTCTTCAGGTCATACACGAGGAAGGGCATCAGGACCATGTCACAACCAGTTTGCCTCCAGGGCATGTGACTAAAGCTCGTTACTGCTCAACAGGTATTATAACCCTCACCACCCACACCCCCCAACCCCGGTCACTGACCTCCCAACACTCCCCTCCACACCCCTTATACTCTGCCCAACCCACCGCCGCTCCTGCTTCACCTCTCTTCTGACCTGGATGGACAGTGCAGAAGGAGCTTTACTCTCGTCCTTTGGATGAACTGAGCTTCCGTCTGCCTGTTCAGGTGGACATTAAAGGCATTCAAGTAAAATTTGGTAACTCACTCCATGGCTGTTTGAGGGATACTGCTGTGCGCAACTGACTGCCGTATTTCACTCACACAATACACAGTCAAAACCACTTTACTACGTATCCTGTGCAACAATTTGAAATATCCTTCCCACATGATAAGGTCCTATATCAAATGCAAGGATTATTATTATTATTACTCTGTCTGTAACTCCTGCTTTTGTTGACCTGGGAGTGTGGATGGACAGTGTCGCGGGAGCTTTACTTAGTACGTGATGCTGAGGATGGGGTTAAGGTATAAGATATTCTGTTGTTTCTGGTTCAGTCTCTAGTTCCGTTCTCCCATTGGTTGAGGAAGATTATTCCCATCCCCAGGATGAGAAACCGTCCTTCCCGTGGGATACATTGCACACTGTGTACCAGCTGTCCTCCAGCTTCCAGTCGGTGTTCCTGGAGGGAGCGATGGGAATGTACGGCTCCCATTTCACCGGGGCCTCACACTCTGACCAGCCCATTGACTACAGTGCGCATTACAACACCGACTCCACCTTCCACTGTGTCAAGTGTAACAAGGTAACATGGACCAGGGTGGAGCAAGGCGGGGAAGTGCACGGATGGGCAGTGTAGGGCAGGGAGAAACAGGGAGGGGCAGAGCATTGCAGGAATGTGCTGTGCCACTCCAATCAACAAGAGTGACCCCCCCCCACCAGCCCTGGCCCCTGACAACTCTATCACAATGCTTCTACCCAAAACTGGAACAACTAGATTAGATTCCAGGCCCGAGGGCTGGAGCAGAATTGGGGAGAATTATTTGGGGGTGGGAGCCAGCCCAATGTCTGACACGTGCGGAAACCCATCACCACGTTTAAGAGTCTTCAAACCAGACTGAGGATTCCCCCCAAAACTGCTCCACCTGAATTAATATGGAATGGGATTGAACTGGGAGGAGGATTGGAATGTGGGATTGGAGTGGGATAGGATTGGATGGGGCGAGATTGCCTTCTTCTTTGCATCACAGGATTTAAAGTTTATTCAAATTTAAGATCGGTTAATCCAAAATCTGTCAATCCAGAAGATCCTGTTTAACCTGCGGAAATCCAGCTTCAAAATAGAAACGGTATTGAGAATGGTCTCCAATCAAGGAGTGGGGGGGGGGAAGAAATCAGAGCCCAGATCCCATCCCGAGCCACCGGCTCCATGCCTGGAGAAGGAAACATTTTCCCAAATTGGGGTAGTAATTCCTAAAATAAATTGGCTGCTACGTTTTGCCCACAAAATATACAGTCACTACACTTCACAGTATATTCTGTGAAGCGCTCTGAGATGTCTCGATGATGTGACCAGGCGTTATATCCAATGCAAGGATTATATCCAATCCAAACTATATCCAATCCAATGCAGTATATTCATTTAAAAGTGGGAATGTGCAGGCCTGGGAGGGAGGGGGGGATGAGGTGGGAAGCTGTGGGTGATGTCAGTGCCTGTCTCTCTCTGCTCCTCACAGGCCTTCTCCACGTCTCACGGTCTCGAGGTCCACGTGCGGCGCTCGCACAGTGGGATGAGACCCTTCGGCTGCGACGTGTGCGGCAAGATGTTCGGGCACTCGGTCAGCCTGGAGCAGCACCTCCACACCCACTCCCAGGTACACAAGTTCCCACCTCGCCTCCCCCCCCACCCCCCCAGCAAACTCCGCTCCCTGGGTACACTCCCCCCCGGTACCCTCCCCCCCCCCCCCCCCCCCCCCCCCCACCCCTCCATTAAATTAATTCCCAAACCATCAGACTAATGGCCAGTGTAACTCACTGCATCCCAAGCTCACAGATATTGAACCGGAACCTTTTACCTGTTTTGACCCTGTTTTCCCCCACTCCCCTCCCCCCGCCCTCGGGAAACGTTTGAAATGTTTTCCTACGTGAAAACCAGGGGTTTGGCTACAAATGGCAAAACACTGCAGATGCTGGAAATCTGAAATAAAAACTCTGGGAACACAACACTCAGTAGGTCAGGCAGCATCTATGGAGAGAGGAAAGTGAGGCGCGGACAAAAGGTCATCGACCTGAAACGTTAACTCGCTTTCCCTCTCCATAGATGCTGCCTGACCCATCTGCTGAGCGTTCCCAGCCACTTCTGTTGCTATTATTGTCCGTTAGGTGTCGAGATCCCTGTTAATTAATTCTGACCAGTGAGCGAGTGTGCGTGTGCGCGTGCGTGTGCGTGCGTGTGTAAGAAGGAAACGTTCCCGTCTCTTTTTGCAGGAACGAAGCTTCGAGTGTAAGATGTGCGGCAAGACATTCAAGCGTTCGTCAACGCTCTCCACCCACCTGCTCATCCACTCGGACACACGGCCCTACCCGTGTCAGTACTGTGGCAAACGTTTCCACCAGAAATCAGACATGAAGAAGCACACGTACATTCACACAGGTCAGTCCCCTCAACAACCACAACAACAACTTGCATTTATATAGCGCCCCTCCCGCAGGCTAGCGTCCCGAGAGCGCTCAACAGTGGCGGAGCACTGTGGGGAGGTGACCGTAGAGGAAGGTTCTTCGGGCGCGATCTGAAGATACAGTACAGAATACAGAATTACATTTGGATAGTGCCTTTCGTGTTGGGAGGACGTCCCAAGTCGCTGGATGGGGAAGGAAGATGGGGAAGGAAGGGGCAAGGCGGAGGGATAGAGGAAGAGTGTTCCAGTGTTTGGAGCTGAAAGAGAGCCAGTCGAGCGGAGGCAACGGGTTGTGGGTTTGGGGGTTGAGCAGGTCGGAGAGGTAGGAAGCTGCCAAAACATCAAGGGATTTGAAAACGAGTGTGAGGATCGAGTGTGAATGAGGCCCCACAGGCCCGCTGTACACCCCTCGCACACCCTTCGCTCGCTGGCTCTCTCTCTAATCCCGACCTCTCTGCCTCCAGGTGAGAAGCCCCACAAGTGCCAGGTTTGTGGGAAATCCTTCAGCCAGAGCTCCAACCTGATCACCCACAGCCGCAAACACACCGGCTTCAAACCCTTCGGCTGTGACACGTGCGGGAAAGGCTTCCAGCGTAAGGTGGACCTGCGTCGTCACCGCGAGACCCAGCACGGCTTCAAGTGACCATGGGAGGCACACCTTTACCACCAGCTAAACACTTACACCCCCCACCTTTCACTTTGACTCCCCCCGGCCCCACCCCTGACTCACCTCCGTCCCATGTGGTGTTTCTCTTATCCTTTCGTTTTCACCACCTTCATAGGTCCACGGACAAGTGGTTCACTTCCACATCCATCACTCTGCCTCCGCCCTCGACCCCAGGATCACAGCTCCTCTGACCACCTACCGGTCAGACAGCAGATCTGGGATCTTCCCTCTCTTCACGCCTGACATGTTGTGTCGTTCCTGACTCTGTGTGTATTTTTTGGATCAAGAATAAATACATTCTTAAACTATGGAGCTTGTGCTGGACTCGGTGAAGAGACATTAATCAGTCAGCTCAGTCAACTAGCACTGTTTGTACAATCATTGAGTCCAAGTAAAGTAACTAGATTTAACTAGTCATTAGTATTTTACGAGTAAAATAACTCAATTTAGCTGTTGACTTGCGTGTCGGTTTGTCAAGAGTTGCTGTTCTTTGCAACCAAGTATTAAGCTTAGGTCCCATCCACCTGTTCAGATGGACATTAAATATCCCATGGCAATATTGGAAAAGAGAAGTTTTTCCCAGTATCCAGGTCAACAATCCCCCAGATAAAATTGGTCATTCACCTGTTTGGAGGACACTGCTGGTGCAAACTAGTTGCACACTACAATACAATTTGCATTTGAACCACACCTTGGAGGATGTCTCAGTGTTTGACCCTGCTGACTGGTCAGCTGGTGGGAGAGCAGGGGTGATGAGGAGGGGAAAGGTGACCAAAAGAGGTCCGTCCTAGGCTCAAGCAGTTACCCCAACACACATTCTGGGGTTCCCCAAGCCTTGCCTCTTGCCAACTTGTCGGGTAAGCAGGCTGGGTCTCTCCAGGAAGAGAGTGCTCATTCCATTCCAATAAACATCCCTGGAATTTCCATGTGCAGGTGGGATGCAAGGAATTCTCAGTTTGGTTTGAACTCTCTTAAGCATGGGGATGGGTTCCCACAAGTGTCAGACACCCAGCTGTTCCACCCCCACAAAAAAACATTTATATAAATACCGCCCCCACCCCCTTACAGGTTGTGATGGAAAATTGTATGGCATGGAAAACAGAGGGTACAAAGTGCCGCCATATCGTATCAGCATTGCGGGGCTGTCTGAGGTTTGAGGCAGACACTGACTGAGGCATAGTCTGAGAGAGGAGGCAGGGGAAATGCTTTACATATCAAAGTAGCAGAGCAGGATTCCAGGCAATGTTGTTTGCATCGAGAAGCGTGGATTTACAGAGCAATAATAACAATAATCCTTGTGTTTGATATAGCGGCTTATCATGTTGAGACTCTCAAAGCGAGTCATAGAATACTGTGTACTGTAAAGTGGATTGACTGGGTATTTGGTGGGCGAAATGAGGCACTGGTCCAGGACAGGGCCTGAAGGAAGTTACCAGGGAAATGGTCTCATCCTCACTCTCTACGGTGGGGGAGTGGAATTTTATTTTGAACAACAACAATTTTTGGGGGTTTTTGCCCTCCCTGATCCCGACCCCAAGCTCGGGTCCGAAATACTGATTGTCCAGCGCCTTAGGACGTCCTCCCGACATGAAAGGTGCTGTACAAATATAATTTTGTTGTTATTGTTACATATCTTGTTATTTTCCGAGATCTAAAATTCCCCCTAAGCTTGTAAGGTGATTAAATTTAAGATCGCACAGAATTGTGTAAAATTCTTATACCCAGAAACTGCGGAAAAACAGCTTGCAACTGAATTCAAGAATTTTCAGTTCTGTTCGGTATTGAATTTAATGATAAGAACGCTTTTAACGTGTTACGTCGAGATGGAATTTTAAGCTCTTGAAGTCCATTATACAGAATGACAAGTGGAAGAAAGAATTCTTATTGACTCTACTTTTCACAGGAAGTGGTTTAAAAATAGGCACCATAGATGGTTTGTTGGTTTCATTGCGTTTGCCTTGAACAACATGTTATCGGAAATCTGGGCCTTTGTGGGTGTTCGACCAAATGTCCTAAAGTGACTGAAAGCAAGGATACACAAAATACACAGTCAATTCACTTTACAATATATCCTGTGAAGCGCTTTGAGACGTCTCGAAGACATGATAAGGCGCTGTATCAAATGCAAGGATTATTATTATTATAACAACAACTTACATTTATTTAGCACCCTTGGTAGCATCCCATTGCCTGGTGGAGAAAGGCACTACCCAGTGAGCATCGAATCAACAGGCCAGGTAGTCACAGCCTCACTTACTATTCTGGGCTGGGTTAGGCTGATCACGCAGAGGGTGATGAGGCTACAATTCCTCCCAGTGCAGGAGTTTGTACAGCGCTGAAAGAGTTACAGTATGCTTGTCCTCATCGCCTCAGCCCTGGGCGTGCAGCGACAATCTCTGTGTGTAACGTACCTCCACCATCAGCTCCGAGTCAGGACATCTGATCCCAGTTACAACTCTGCTTGTTTGACAGACAAATTTCTTCAGGTGGGGCTTTGGGAGGGGAGGCGACAGGCAGTAATCAATGTTGCAGAGGCACCCATTCATTCACAAAATACACAGTCACTACACTTTACAGTGTGTCCTGTGAAGGGCTTTGAGACGTCTCAACGGCGTGATCGGGTGCTGTATCAAAAGCGCCTGATTATTAGATTATAATCATGAAGTTGGACAGTGTCTGAGTTTCAGGCTGAGCCAAATCCATCGGTTAAGAATCAGAACCGTTGCAACACATTAAACTTCATCCCCCTCCACCCAACTCCCAGCCCTCCAACCCAAACCCAGGCCTGCATTGGGGTGTCATCTTAGACGATGTGAGTGGAGCCTGCGCCCCCAAACCCACTGACTCAGAGGCCCTTCTCTTCCTCTGCTTTAATCACCTGCCGACGCTTACTGTCTATGCTTAAACCAATCAGTCAGACAGACAGCGAGAGAGAGACCCCCAGGACCAGTCCTCAACAACAATAACAACAACAACTTCTATTTACACAGCACCCTTCACGCAGGGCAGCGTCTCAGAGCCCTGCTCAGTGGCGGGGTGGGACACCAAGTGAGGGAGAAGGGGAAATGACCAGAGGTGTGGTCAAAGAGGTGGGATTTAGAGATAGATCGGGTGGTGGTCAGGGAGTTCTAAAGGTTAGTGATGCGGTGGCTGAAGGTACGGCCGCAGATAGTGGAGCAGAGGGGTGACTGGACTGGGACGTGAAGCTGGCGTGCGTTAGCTGAGCAAAGGGTGGGGAGCGGAGTGGGTTAGGAGCAGGACAGAGAGGATGAGTGGATTTTTACGTGAGGGTGAGGAGCTGGAAATTGATCCTTTCCACAAGGTAAGGCTGATCAGCATTAACAGCCCAGCGCGGGTGGAATCAGTGACCTGCCAACCACAGCTTGCAAATCAGCAGCTAAAACCATGGATGCAGTGGTTGAATGACCAGTGTAGTCTGCTGGGAAGCTTCTAACCAGCTCTCAGCAGACATAAAGTGGTCATTCAACCCCACCCTTTGCTCAGCTAACACTAACCGTGGGCAGCAATATGGCAATGAGAGATAAAGTGCGGCTCCTGATTTCTGCTCCTATATTGGGCTGACAGTGAGCGGCCATTTAAATGGATGGCTCAATAACCCTGTATCTGTCTGTGCGTCTGTCTGTCAGATTCTGCACACGGCAGAGAGCAAATCAACAGGCAATAGAGTGACAGGATTGAATAGGGGCAATAGAATTTCTGGCAATAGAGTGACAATTTGCACACAGCAATGTCCCACAGACAGCCATGAAGTGAGTGAGTGATTGATTTTATTTGGGGACTGTTGGCCTGGACACCAGGAGATAGAAGCTCCCTTCTCTCCTCTGATAGTTCTGCTGGACGCTTAACATTCAGCCTGAACAGGTTTAATGTCTCATCTGAAGGACGGCACCTCTGACAATGCAGAGCTTCCCCAACGCTGCACTTGAATATCAGCTGAGACTGTGAGCTCAAAGTCCTGGACCCAGGGCTTTAACCCACAACTCCTGACCTGGAGCGTGGCTGACAGTCAACAACAAATTACACTTACACAGCATCACCTTTCACGTCAAGAGAATGTCCCAAGGCGCTGGACTGTCAGAGATTTGACCCAAGCTGGGAGATGGATCAGGAGGGGTGGAGGGCAGGGAGGGTGGGGGTAGGAGTGTGAATGAAGACCCGGTCGAAAAGGAAGATTTTTGAGACGGGCTTTGAAGGAGGCAAGGGAGGGGCGAGGCAGAGGGACTGTGTGATGGAGTTCCAGATGGTGGGGACAGAGAGACTGAACACCTGACTGCCGATGGTGAGGTGGGACGAGAGGGGACGTGGGGCACGCTAGAGCCTGCAGAGGTATGAAGCCATTAGTAATCAGTCATTCAGTTTGATGCTGGAAAATCTCAATCAGCGTGAGAAAAGCAGGCTCTTTGTTATCAGGGTATCTGACTGTAACTGGGAAATAGCACAGCACTCCAGAACAACTTTGGTTAACAAATGAGAAATGCAAAGTCACTGTGCTGCTCCCGTCTTCCTGTCAAACAGCAGAACAGCCCAGCTCAGCACAGTCCAGCCCGGCCATCACACAGCTCAGCGACACAACCCCAAAGGGCTCGGTCACACGGTCAATCCACAAACTGCCAACCCTCCTCACCCATTGCTCCTCATCCCTGCCCTCCTGCTCATCCACCCTTTCTCTCCTCCCCTCCCTCTTTCCCACACTCACTCACTCACTCACTCACTCTTTACCTCATTCTCTGTTGATCCTCTCTATCTCTCTCTCTCTGTCTCTCCCTCACTCATCCCATTCTTTCTCTCCTTCACTCCTCTCTCTTTCTCTCTCTTCCTCCCTCAACTCTCTCTCCCTATAGCATAGATGTATTTAAGGGAAAGCTGGATAGGTACATGAGGGAGAAAGGAATAGAAGGTTATGCTTGAAAGCTGAGTTGAGGAAGGGCAGGAGAAGGGTCATGTGGAGCATAACACCGGCAAAGCCCAGTTGGGCCAAATGGCCTGTTTCTGTGCTGTAATATTCTAATGTATTCTAATGTATTCCCTCCCTCAACTCACTCTCGCTCTCTCCCTCCCTCACTCGTGAGCAGAAAGCCCACCAGAGCAAGCTAGGAATGGAGTGAACTGGGACAGAGTGATGCCTCTACAACAGGAGTTTGGAGAGAATGGGAATTCACTGCATAGGGGGAAGGAGGTGA